TTTGGATTATGGAATAACATGATAGTACCCCCACTGTATATATATTCACTCCTGTGTGAATATGCCTTACCTGGTTGGCTGTAGGGGTCTTCGAAGGCATCCAACCAATAGAAGCGGAAAACCTGCTCCCCGTCTGCACCTTCCACCAGCGGGAGTTGGCTAGAGTCAACCTGTATCTCTGCTTGAGCCTCGCTGGCTACACCTTCCTCCTCTTGTCCCCAAGAGCTTCCGATCCTGCTTGATCTGAAAAAGGAAGGAGGATGGTGAAATTGAAGCTTGTGCTACGCCGTTTTCAAAGTCTTTACACTTTGCATGTATGCACAGCATTTCAAGATTGAGACAAAAAAAATCAAATGTTCTAATAAAGTAAAAGCTATTAAAGCAGATAAAAGACTTACAATAAGACGGGGTCCTGAGGCTCTGATTTGGGCTCCACTTTAACTGACACCTGTGCTGCTGCTGCTTTAAGCTCATCCTCATTTTTCATTGCAGGCTTCTCCTCCTCAACTCCGACCTCCATCGGCTCATCAAAGTCCACCCCATCAAATGCCAGAGCATCACTCACTGAGAAACACATTGTCATAGAAGTTAAGGTGCTAGAAGGGAGAAAAAGATCAAAAGGCTAGCAGAGCTGTATTTGCCTTTCTTACCTTCCTCTTCCACTGCCTCCACTTTTGCCTTCTTTTTCTTCTCCACAGGAAGAGCAGGTGTAGGGGCAGGGAGACGGGCTGATGAACTGGGAGTTGGGTCAGAAGGCGGCGGCCTGACAACTTTGGCCTTTGACCCCATAGCTGAGGATGACTCCTTGTAAGTGACATAAAATATCTTGTAATTACTGAATTAAAAACATAATTTCGTCACTGACATAGCTTACAGATACTTCCAATCATGTGGTTAAAATATGTTTAAAGTCTATGGCAGATAATTATGACTGGTTTAAGGATACCTTTGGCATCTGAGGTTTGATGGAAAAGGGATTCAAGGGTGATCCAAGAGACTTCTTTTTCTTCAGAGTGACCACTGGCGGAGGAGTCAGAAGAGTCGGTTTCTGAGTAGACAGATGGAGAGACAGATGTTTTAAAGGCAACCTTCACAAATCAGATTAGGTAGGGACAATGAAGAGGCTATTAAGAACAAAGAAGACTGTAAAATAACTAAAAAGGTTAAAGATTTAATTCTTATATCAACACTTGGTTCATCCTTTTTTGCAACTAAAGTGAGAAATTCAGATGCATTAGCTGACACTGGATGATATGGTACCAACCTCAGAGTGCAAGTCCTGTAAGATATCTCCTAAAAGGTCATCTTTGGACAGGTCCACGTCTTTCTGCAAGAGACAACATTATGCTTACAGTCAACTCAAAAGCAAAAGTGTAGAGCATCTCTTTTATTTCAAGTCAAGATCTTCAAAGGGCACTCCTTAGGGACAATTGTAATAGCAGCTACTAATTTTATTCTTCACAGAAAAACTATTAAAATCATGATGATGCCACACTTGTTGGGGTTTGTACCAAATAAACATGTTTTTCTGGAGAACAAGATTTTTAGGCCAGGGCTAGATCTACAGTACTTCATGATGATGCTGTTTTGTTACACATTGTATCTTTATCAAATACACACACACACACACATTTCACTTGTCCATAACATAATTTCGATAATATTTCAATTAATTGTGCAGCCCTAATAGGAGCAAACACCGAAGTAAGTCATTGATGCCAGCAGAAACATACCTCAGCAGGCCTCTTGACATTACTGTTCATGAAGAGGCTCTTAATGGTGTTGGGTTTGGCTACAACAGATTTCTTTACATTTTTCTTGGAGTCTGCTCCTTTAGCACCTTTTTTCCCTGCGAACACAAAAAAAAATCATTCTTTGTACAAAATGATTTACTATACATTGCCCCACACTCAAAATACACATACACTGTTGTGTGCTGTAATACTGTATGAATGTTTACCTTTGTTGTTCTCAACAACATCATCATCCAAATCATCGTCAAAGATTTCTCTTCCATCCTCCACATATCCCGTTCCATCTGAGAGGAGAAGAGAAAGTTTCACATCAGACCTCCACATTACACATATTCCCACAAAAGGATAAGAGTGGCCAGAATTAGCTGTCAACTATTTAATAATTGATTCATTGTTTTACATCATCGAGAAAAAAGGCCCAAATTCTCTGATTTCAGATCATCAAATGTGAATATTTTCTTTGTGTTGTGGACGAAATAAAAGATGATTTGAAGATGTCACCTTGACCTTTGGAAAACAGTGATCAACATTTTTGTCATTTTATATAATCGATAATAAAAGTAGTTAGTTTCAGCCCTACAGAGGATAAAGAAGACCGATACTCACCATCGTCAATAATCCAATCATCCTCTTGTCTTTCTCGTACCATCTTCGAGTACTGCTGCTCGTCCACTTCTTCATACACACTTGTAAACTCCTCCACCTGGAAAACATGTTGGGTTGGTTATCAATTTATCACATTATTCTCTCAATTAATTGTTCTGTAAAATGGCCATCTGAATGTCCCAGAGCCTCGGGTGCTTGATGTATGATTATCAAAACTGTGGTCAATTAATTTTCTGTCAATCAAAGCACTGAATAATTAACTAATCTTTTTGTAATCTAAAGCAGAGCACTGACTTTCTCAACGGTAGACAGTCTCATGTGTGGAAAAGTCTGATGTTTAATTCAGTAAATATTTCATTGAAACCGCTCATACTTGAGTAAAATGTGATATAATTTGAATCTATGTAGCGTCTTTGTACAACATTTTCTTTCCAGGCACAGTGGGGACAATTTGTCTTAAGAGGCTGTTTGGTAGATCCAAAGCTCAAGTCAGTACAAACTAATGGATCCTAACAAGTAAGGTGATAATTCTCTGCAATGTACTGTAACCTTAAGTAGATTAACATAAAGTCGCCACACACTGAGTTGAATGAAACACAAACAATTACACACAGGTTGCAGAACATCCACTGTTCCGCACATATATAAGCAACAACAACACGTAAGTTTCTCACCTCATATTTGATCTTCTCCCCCATCTTGGCTTTCTTGAGCTGCTCCAGTGCTGACTTCCTCCCCACCTTCTCCCTCTTCTCCCGTCTGGAGCGAGACTTTGCCAGACCACAGGCATCATCACCACCGTCGTCTGAGGAGGAGGACACATCGACATGACGACGCAGCAGCAGGTACGACCATGACAGTGTGAGTCGCAGAGGTTTATCCCAAGAGATACTCCTCTAATGCCACATTATGCAGGGGACAGTTTGAGGAGCGCAGGCGCAAAACATGGCTTCTTTTGCCCCCTGAAACACTACTTTAAGGCATTCTTATAGTTAGTTAGACAGTAATAGGATTTATCACACACAGCGCCAATAAAGTTGCAGTGGAAACAAAGTCAAGTCAGAAAATAACACACGGCAATAGCGGCGCACCGTAGTTAGCGAACATTACCGAGCATTAAAGTATCCTACATTAGGCATTAGCAACACTAGACTCGTAACTTACCAGTAAAACTAGTTAACACATTTAAATACACACATTTAAGTAAAGGCCTACGCGTGTGTCTTGTAATATGACAGCGAAAAGCTAGCTGAAATGTTAGCTAATTCCTTCGCTTTCCCTGTGCGGGTCCTCTCGCTTTAAACTCACCGCCGTCCGGACCGTCCATGTCTTTGTCTGGGTTTGATACCGGAGCCATGACTTCAACTATTCTGCCTTTTTAGTTTGCGCCCTGACAGCTGCTCGACGCCAGAGACAGTAGGTCAACACAACAACAGGACAGTCCGCGCCAAATCGTCTTCCCGGGGAAAGTCATATGCAGGAAGTGACATCACAGCGCTGTCAGCCAATGAGATGAAGCGACGTCTCCGCTCGTGTCCGCACGATGGCGCTGTTGTTCAATGTAACCGTGTTGTTTACTCCACAGGCTCTCAACCAAATAAAACAAGTACAGTATTTTTACAGCATGACTTTTTAATTTACAACATGTATCTGACAGAGATGGTAAATTACTCTGTAGATTAAGATTTTAGCCAATTGCCAATTGACCCCAACTTAAAACTTAAAATAGTTGATAAGTGTTTTTTTTTGTTTTTTTTGCTTTATTCTGTTTTTACATCAGAGATAAAACGCACCCTCAGAAATTATTACAGTACATATGTCTATAGGCCTACCATTACAAAAAACAGATATAAATACTTAGTGATGGTGCACAGTTTGTCCACATAGTCCTTGCTTCAAAACAAATACAGTTTTTATGTTGAGGGATCCTCCATGGAATCATTTTATCAATCTATAAAAAGATAGTAAACTTTTCAACCACTGGCACTTACCCTAAACACAACATATTAGTATCGTATAGTATATAATATAGCCTATAGTATTTAGCAGATTAGATAAGAGAAAAATGTCACTCCTTAAGTTACATAGCCTACTTTAGAAGTAGGGATTATTCAGATGTGTGTAGCTAAGACAATGCAGGGGGGGTTGTAAGGAAGGTCGGCCTCCTTTTTCCACCAATATAATATTCCTATGGACAAGTAGGCTGTTGTCTGATGTTTCAAACAGGGAGTTCAAGTTCAGGGCGTCTGTCTTTCCAGGGAATAACATTACAACTTTAACCTCAAATTAGTATTCTCAAACAGTCTATCACTGGTCTCCCTCTTTCTTTTTCTTTTTCTTTTTTTCTTTTTTTTTAAAGTCAAAGTCCATTCCTGTGTATCCCGATGAAGCTCGTTTCCATGGCGATCAGGCGGCACTCTGGAGGACACAATGGGTTCCTGTCCCAGATTGGGGCCACAGAGACACAGTGCGTCCAACAATGAAAACACAAAGCGTGGTTTGTCCTTCATCCCCACAGCCTATTTAGGCTTTTATACCATAACTCTGTGGTACTGTGATAATTCATGCTGCATGTAAGACTGCTTCTAATGGCCTGCCATATTGGTGATTTCAGTAGCCTAGTAGTTTGTTGCCTTTAGGCTGTAACAGTATATTTGTGCACAGCATGTACTGTTTTGGTGTGTGTTATTATTTGTTGTTTAGGCTGTAACACTTGTTTAATGCAGATTGCCTGAGTAAGGTCCTCCAGGGTAGTAGCCTACAGGAGGAAGAGGGTTCATGAATGTATAGGCAGACAGCCGTATGGTGTACTGTAAGGTCTGCTCAATGGACCGTGGCCCACAGTTGTCGCAGCTGATCAGCGGTGAGCAGCTGATCTGTCCTCTGGACAAACTGGACAGACGGACAGTCGTCGCTCTGCCGCACTTTCCCCGCTGTGCTGGAGCAGAGACAGGCTCCTTCCTTAGACTAAACAGCAAAGCGGACAGAAAACACATCGCTATTCTTATTTTACATGATCGTTTAGGGTTTTTGGACGCCATGGTGAAACAGCGACGCATCAGAGCGCATTCCTGTTGCGCAGCTGTTGCGCCGCTTTGTTGCAGAAGAGGAGCACTGAAGGTAAGCAACGCATCCCTACTCAACGCATTCAGATTGATTGAGTTTTACTAAGCTTTACATAGTTATAGTCCAGCTCTGCGTGATTCGTCTACAACGAAAAGTAGCCTAACAGTTGTAGTGGGGAAAAGAACAGTAAAAGTTGTTTGCAGTTTGAAGCTAAAAAAACAATTTTAATAAAATGTTTGTGCCAATAGTCTCATAGATCAATACTCTCATACATACATCTGTTAAGTAGTCCGACAAGCAGATCAGACTACTCACAGCTGGGTTTGACTGTGACAGCTAAATATCCAACTGAATACAACAAGGTAGGCTACATTATATATGCCAAATAGAGAGCATTACTAAACTCTGATAGTGAAACTAATATGGTTATTGTGGAAATGTTCGGTTAAGTTTTACAAAGCGCTGAAATTTATGTCCATTTATTATGTTTTTTCCATAAAGAGTCCGCTGCACTCTTACAAAGCCTTATAGGGGGGTAAAACCCCCATATACTGTGAATTTATAGACTCTAGATTCAACTGTAACCCAATGTAGTGATACTCAGTATCATCTCACTGATGGTGCTATGGCCCGCTCCACCAATCAGAACTGCTCTGCTGGTCTGCTCTCTGATTGGTCCTTTTCTTGGAGCTCTCTCCTCTTTCCGTCTCCATGGCGAGAGCCCATCAGCCCTGCGAGCGAAGATCGTTTATTGAAGTGATGGCTCACTCACAGCTTACAAAGCTCTCAGGATGATGCTAATACAGTTGCATTTAAATCATTGATGACTGACTTCAAATCTACTGCCATTGTCCCTTCCAGATAATCATAATATACAACACAAATACACATAGGGTATTAACAACAAGGCAGTCTGCTATAGGTGTTTCATTCCCTTGTTGTCGTCAATGTTGCTGATTATCTGTAATATTGATGCCAGATGGGCCTGGAGATTTGTAACATTAACACAAAGCTTTCAGTAGAGCTGTCAATAGAGGGTCGAAATTAAATACAAAAAGGTCAAATCAAACTGAACATATTTGCAACCATATTAAATTAAGATCAGAGATATACACTCCTTTTGTGGTCGCAATAGCTGCAGAGTGGGACTTCTTTTCTTTCTCCTCTCTGCAGCAGGAGATCAGAGAGGATGAGGAGGAGGAGGAGGAGGAGAGGGGAGGACAGACAGAAAGGCAGAGCAGAGAGTGGGCGGGGGTAACAGAGGAAGGAGAAAGAGACTGAGTGGTGAGGAGAGAGGCATCGTCTCACTGATGCTGAGTCACATAACAGAGGGACCACAGCCACATCCCATGAGTCTTTGGGAATCATGGAGGAGCTTGAACACACTTGCCCCCATCCCCGGACGGTAGGGCGTTTTTGAGCGTGTGTGCGTTGCCTTGTGTGTTGCTGTGTGTGTGCGGAGTGTGCGTGACAGGGAGAGAGAGGAAGACAAAGGGTCCTGCTTTCTCCCCTGTTACGAAACAGATCCCCTATAGCATGAGGCTGTGGGTTATGCTCAGAATGCTGAGTGGACACGTTTGAATGAAGGAGGGGGTTCACACGGTGGACAACAGCGTGAATGTCCTGCTGAAGGGACACTGCGGCAGCAAGGACAGAGAGCCTGCTGTGTCTTCTTCTCTTCGGTGTAATTCCTCATCCTGGCGTTCATGTTTGTCTCTTCCAAACGGCCCATCTTTTGCCTTCTTGTCGTCTTTACTGCTGTCGTTTTCTCGTGCCCTCTCGTGTCCCCGTGTTTCTTTATTTCCGGCTTTAATCCTTCTTATGCCAGATGTTCTTTGCCTGTGCCAGAGAAAGCTTTACTGACCGCTCGTCCTGATAGGCCCATGTGCCCTTCGGTCAGTTGGTATAAGCTTTACCATCTGCTCTTTGCTGCTTGCAAGCCACCATTCTGTTCTCACTGTGCCCAAGGAATCATGGGTGATAAGGACGCTCCCTCAGCACAGCCTCTCTGCTGCTTTTATGTTGTATAGCTCTGCCGGCTAGCATTGAGCTCTGATACCTCTCCCATGGAAACACATCATGGCACGTTAAACATGACCTGACAAAATGTTCAAAGCCGATTTTAAAAGACACAGGAGAAGGATGTGCGAGTAAATGGAAACGAAGATACCAATAAAACGAGTCTTAGGTGTTAAAGATCCGTGTCTTCTTTCCATTCCTCTTGTAGCTGCAGCTACAACAGCTGCTTACCTTCATAGAAGCTGATACTTTAAATAATTAAAATCTGCTTCTCCACCCTAAACAACCAGTTTCCAGATCTTTAAATCACTGCCCACATCTCTAATTTTGCAGTGATTCATGTTGAAGTGAAAGTGAAATGGCAATTCATTACCACAGCTGACCACAGGGCACATTGTGAGATAAACATCTTCATACCAGTGAATGCTTGGTGTGTTTTTATCTGTATAATTAAAAATGTAATGCAATTTTTGGTGATTAGGTTGTACATACATTGGATTTACTTGCTTGGGGTCCTGCACACCTAATTGTTGTATGTGTAAAACTATTAGTTATTCTAAAATCTACCAATGTTTAACCTTTAAATAATTGTTTATTAAAAGATTATTAAAAGCCAATATGTATAAATGTATCCTCCCCGTTGCCACAAACTGAGCTTGCACATCATTAGTACAACAAATAAGGAAATATTTCATGTTCATATGGACTATGAATGAACAAGCTCCTTTTCTTTGCCAAAAAGTCATTCACAGTCAGAGAAATGTTATGTATGTTATCCTACATGACTGATGTTGTTTGGGCTCCCTGTTAGATCTCATATGAACCATCACAGCTTTAGAGAAGATGAAAATCCATTGTATCTAAACTACAGCTGGAGTCTGGCCTTCTGCAACATGTCTTCAGGTCAACATCATGCTTAGAAGCAATTACCATTAAATTAGGAAAAGTCAGGGTCTCATACGGGTTAAACTAGCTGCATAGCACCTCCGAGACACTTGTTAACCTATGTATGCAAAATCAATCCTGTTAATACTTAATGTCTTTGAGGGAGTCACCTGTTCATAGCTTCTGTTGTTGCCTCACGTGCAGAGATGGATGACACAATGGCAACAATGTCTGAACAAACACTTGACATCTCAGAATATTTTGTACCCATTATTGAAATGACCGTTTTAAAGAAAAAGTCACTTTAAAAAACAGTTGACGGTGAGGTAATATGGGAACATATTTCTGGAGAAAATGTTTTGGGGTGTGGGCATAAATCTCAAATATCTCCAAAATCTGTGCAAATAAAATGATCTGCATCGCTAGATACCTCCTGGGAGGGCTGGAAAGTAGTTTGAAAAACAGATTTAGTAAGAAATCTCTTCTGTTTAGCTCTGGCTCAAAGCTTCATTTCCTTAAACAAATTCACCAGTTAACACTCTTTGAACCTGCACTATATTACTGAGAAGGCCGCCTTTCATGTTCATTGGTCTGTCCCTGCATGTTGTCATGCCAGACTCTGGTTTTGCTGCTGTTCCTGGAGGATATGTTGACGTCAGCTGCCGGTCTTTTCCACAGAGACTGAATCTGTTTCCATTTTTTCATCCTCCTCCCACTCTCCCACAGCTTTCTGCTCTGTGCCGACTCTGATTCTCTTTTATTGGTGTGAATGAGATTCAGCGAATATTCCCTGCAGTCAACAGATGGCATACAAAGACAAATTTTCAGGCAGGCTCACACTGCAACACTTTAACCTTCATGTAGCTTAGACAAGTGCTAACAAGTATCATCCTTCATCCTTGCTCTCTTTGTCTTTGTTTCTATTTCCTGTTTTTATTCTTTCTGTGCAGATTTCCACTGCTTAATTTGCATTTATACATGTACATTTATTGATTAATCTTCCCTTTTGAATTTTTGTTCATTACTGAGAGGCCTTCAACCACTGATCAATAGCTGTGTCCATGTTAACACACACATAGGCTACGTGCAGAAGTAAATGTCTGCTCACACACACACACACACACACACACACACACACACACACACACACAGACACACAGAGTGATCAATAACACTGAGTGCAGTCCTGTCTGTCTCACAATCCATTGTCCCAATATGGAGCAGGCGTCGGCTGCGGTCAATAACTTGATGTAGGTTACTGTAATAGGAAAGGGAGACATATTGTGTTCCACTGTAGGGGTGGGTGGCTGAGGTTCTACGTGTTTTCAGATGTTGTAAAAACCAGTCTCCCCTCCAAAATAAGATGCTGTATTTTATCTATAACCTAGTCTCTTTCTCCTCTCTCTGTCTCAGACTTTGACAGAGCCTGCCATATTTGCCAGGGAGACCAGTTGTGATTGTCGCGCCCCTCATGAGAAACTCACCATCGCTCAGGCCCGCAGAGGCACCCCAGGTACAGTAGACCATGTCCTGTTTGGTTTTCTTCTCTGATCCATTTCCTCCAACATTTTTCTCCATCTCCCAGCTTTCATGTTTATTTTCGTCCTATTCCTCAACCCTTCCTTTCGAGGCCCGGCGCCACAGAGGGGCTAAAATGTATTGTATTTGTACTGTTCTCTAAAGAAAAATAGCAAACACAACAAAATGATTGGCCAATGTACATGTTACTATTAGGCCACGCTGTCCATAGTACTGAAGCAGGGCGGAGGAGATCAATAGACAGGCAGACAGAATCACACATCACTGGTTTCTTCACCTGCTTGCTTTTCATGGTTATAAGCAGTTTTCTAATTCTCCCATATTAGCAGTCTACAGACAGAAGGGAAACGACAGTGAAGTGAAGGGACAGTCAGCTGTTACGTGTCCTCTCCTGCTGATTTCGTTCATAAATTCTAAATATATTTAGCGCTCTGCCAGTGATACATTGTTATGTGAGTGCTCTGTTTAATAATGCATTCTTTCAGTAGCCTTATGTTGTTGTTATTTAGCATTATTTTTTAATGAAAAAAAACACCCCCCTCGCGATTTTTAACAGCCCCCCTCAGTCACTTCATCCTGGTGCCTGTTTCTTTCTCTGACCACATTTGCTACTTCTATTAATATTACTGCACTATAACTACTGCAATGCAGCTGCTACTGCTTCTACTACTACCTCTAAAGCTACTTCTACTACCACAACTACTACTGCTGCTGCTGTCCTATAGTATCACATCACCACAACTACTACTGCTGCTGCTGATACACTTTACTACTGATGCTAACACTAGCACTGTGGCTACCACTACTAGCTACATCTATCACTATAACCAGGTGCAAACGATTATTCAGATTCTGCTACTCCTGCTATGTTTGCCACTGCTTTTCCCAATACATTCTTTACTGTGACAGTATTATTACCAGTGATACTACTAATAATATTGTGCTAAGCTGTAAGATGTATGAAACCTTAATGTGGCTCCAGAGGGAGCTGCATGAAGTCTCAAGTGATGTCACTTGAGGCAGCGTTGGTTGGGGCTGAGGACTACGAGTTTGAAAATGAGGCTTGAGGCTACTCCAGGCTACATTAGCATTCTACTCGCATAACATGTTCAAATCTCCAACTCAACTTTTGGCAGGTGATTTGCATTGTGGGAAATGTAGCCGCCAGGTTTTGACAAGAAAGAATGTGTGAAATAAAAGAGACACTTAAAGGAGTAGGAGTATAGTTACTATGTTTTAAAGTAATTAAGAATGTTATTAATACATTTATTTTTCATAAATCAACAATCTCGAGAGAAATTGGGGCTTTTCAGCCAGAGCCATTACTCCCACTCTGATGTGCAAGTAGTTAAAATATTCTAGTATTCTAGTATTAAAGTAGTTTGGATAAATGTGTTGTATTGCTGTGTATTTGTCAGTGGATCGGCCGGTCAGAGTCTACGCAGATGGGATTTTTGACCTGTTTCACTCCGGACATGCTCGCGCTCTCATGCAGGCCAAGAACCTTTTTCCCAACACCTACCTCATAGTAGGAGGTAGGACTGACAACACATAAACACACACATACATCCACCCTGAAATTCCACAGCTCAAAATAACCCATACTGGTTTATCTGATAGTGATAGGGATTTATATGTTTCTGTGTTTTGTGGGCTTTCTCTCCCATGTTGGTGAACAGTGTGCAGTGATGAGCTGACCCATAAGTACAAGGGTTTCACAGTCATGACGGAGATTGAACGTTATGAAGCACTGAGACACTGCCGCTATGTCGACGAGATTTTGAGAGACGCACCCTGGACTCTTACGCCCGAGTTCCTAGAGAAACACAAGGTGTGTGGTTGTTTACAGTGTCTGATGTTTAGGATGTTTTGTGATGCTTCGTGTACAGTTTAAAAGTCAAACGTAGCTCCTAAATGAGTTAAATACACATAAATACTACTATCAGTCAGTCATTGCGTGTGGATGCATGTGTTTATGAGCAAACCCTTGTCACGTACTGTGCATATTTTGCAAAACTCTACCGTGTATGGTCACGTGAGGTTGTTTTACCTCATGTCTGCATGCTAGAGCAGCGTTTTCTACCATACGGTGCGTGACCTTTGATTGTTCCTCAGATCGATTTTGTGGCTCATGATGATATCCCATACTCCTCAGCAGGAAGTGAGGACGTTTATAAACACATCAAGGAGGCAGGTCAGTGTGTGATACCAGATAAAATAAATGTATGTATTAAAATACATATTGTGCAGTTTTCCTATTCATTTGTGTGTATACCAGGGATGTTTGTGCCTACACAACGGACAGAGGGGATCTCAACATCTGACTTAATCACCAGAATTGTCAGAGACTATGACGTCTACGCCCGACGCAACCTCCAACGTGGCTACACGGCCAAGGAGCTTAACGTCAGCTACATCAACGTAAGACCATGATCAATTCTACATGTCACCATAATGATCTAATGCTGATTGCTGCAGTTGCTGTATAGAAAATAGAGGCTAGTTAAATGTACAGTGGCATTATAACAAAATGGTTTTAAAGCTAGTTAAAGAAATATTTCAATTACACAAATTTCTAAACATTAAATTATATTTGGTTTAAACTGTAGCTTTTATACACACTTACTGGGCTTTTGTTTTGCCCTTTTATGGACAAATTCAAACAACCACATGTGAAACACATTTTGAGACTGCTATTTCCCATAATCATGATATGCATTATGATTTTAACTGGAACTGGTCAACTGATGTTCCGGTTCTTCTGTAATGTGTTCACTCGTAACACTTACATAATGATTTTTCCTCATTTAATCCCCCCTCAGGAGAAGAAGTACCGGCTGCAGAACCAAGTGGACCGGATGAAGGAGAAGGTTCGCACGGTTGAGGAGAAGAGCAAACACTTTGTTTACCGTGTGGAGGAGAAGAGTCACGACCTCATTCAGAAGTGGGAAGAGAAATCTCGGGAGTTTATCGGCAACTTCTTAGAACTTTTTGGACCTGATGGGACTTGGGTGAGTGACTCATTAAAAAAGGAAATACCTGTCATCAGTTCTTCCTGATCCCTTGTGCTGTATTTTCTAACCTTCACTCTCTTTCTACAGAAACAGGTGTTTCAGGAGCGCAGTGGACGAATGCTGTCCTACGCTCTGTCCCCGCGGGAGTCGCCCTGCAACAGTCCTCCCCGCGAACTGTCCCCCTTGCGATCTCCGTCACCCCCGTCTCCCCCCGCCCGCTGGCACAATGCACGGCCCTCGCCCCCAACCTCCCCGAAAGGAGCATCTGCCTCTATAAGCAGCATGAGTGAAGGTGATGAAGATGAGAAGTAGATGAACTGTTGAACACACACATTGCACACACACACACACACACACACAAATACACACACACACTCCACTCACAATACACTGCCTGAGAACTGCTCACACACACACACGCACACACACACACACACACACACACACACGCACACACACACACACACACAAACAAACACTTATATTCCTACAAACACTGGCTGGATACTGAAACAGTTCTCCTCAAGGAAGTTGCTAATATGCAAGGCAGACAGTGATCATGGGAAATGAAGTTTTGTGCTGCAGAGCTAAGAAGCCATCACTGTCTCTGTTGTCTGGGCAACCACGCAGACAGAAGAAGGACAAAGGAAGACGATTTATGTAAACAGTGTCACATATCGTAAGGCAGTCCAGAATGCTTTGCAGCATCTTTCAAGAGGATTTGCTTTGGGTTGTCCAGTGTTGATAGAGACTGTCCCAACAGCCTGCTCATAATATCACTTCATTGTTTTTTCTCCTGTTCTGTATAGTTTAGCTTTTTCTTTTTTAAAGTTGCCATGATATCTTGTAACTACTGTGACCACTAGATGTGAATAGGCACAAAGTTACAGAACATTGTGTGTGTGACATTCAGTGAATCGACAGAAACTGGATTCATTCATCACTGTGTAATTTTGTGCTTGTTAGGATGAGAGTTAGGAATTAAAGGAAATACACTGCACACCCTAGATTAGTGAAGTGTTGGACAACCTCTTGGCACTCAAACACATAGTTTGTGCAAGTTTGCACCACTTTAGCATAAATTATTGACAAGGAAAATAAAATTCAGAGACCCCAAATCCTTGATTCACTTGTTCCCATGCCACAGTAATGACCACTTAACCAAAAAAACAGCTTAAAACTAATCCCTAGGAAAAAATTACTAAAATTAGTGCAAACAAAGGTCCAGTGAAAAACAACTGAATATGGAAAACCAAAGTTTTTTATCACCTCAGTTGTATCACGTTGTTTAAAATCGAACAATATCATCCTAGTTTTAAAGTTCATGTGAGAAAAATTGTTTTGAAATGAAAATAGAAACAAGATATGTCATAAAATTAGCAGAAAACGAGCCCTTTACGATCTAAATCTTGGACTGTGCTTAATCCGTAAAATGCCTGTTAGATGGTTCCAAAACCTCTGATTGTGATGAGACAAAACAAACAGCCTTCAATTATTAGCTTCTTGAATGTAAACTGAGTCTTTGAGACCAAACCTACAGTAAAGAGTAAATGTAATCACTATCATTTCTAGTCACATACAAAACACACAAATCCTTCATCACCAGTCTTTCAGTAGTCCACGTAAATATCACGTCTCACTGTAATTAGTTGAAACATTTGTGGATTTTCAGCATTAAAAAAGCCATGTATTTTTGACAGTTTTCCATGTTTTATCCATCAACGTTTAGCAGACATTCTTTCTCTTTGGAATATGATGTCAGCTGTTAATCAAACCCGGCAAACTTGGAGATACAAGCCTCTCTCTAGGACTCTGATGATACTTGAAATATACAATTGAATCCCTCCAGGTGAACTGTCAGGTCCTTAAAAAGCTGGAACATCACTCTAATGTTTTACTTGCTATTACTGGAAATGTATGTAATACCTTTTTTTTTTTTTTTTTTTCTTTGCTCTGGTCTGCTCGCTCATGCCAGGCCGGAGCAGACCTCTCTTCCACCCCAACAATACAATAAATACCCTAATGCAATGTAGAGACCTTAATGTCCTGTACGCACTACATGTTAACCTGCACTATATGTACAAACTTTGGGAATGTGTGTCTTTTTTTATTTTTTAAATTTTAATGATCAAACGGCTTGATATGTAAATAAATCAAAAATCTATAACTGAATGTGAATTAAAGTGCATTGCACAGTCTTATCAGGGCACGAGGTGCAGAAAATCAGAGACGGATCGCACACAACAGCAATTTTCTTTATTGTCAGGTTTGACAATGTAGGTGGATCTCATGCTGGATCACATCATTAGAATGGTCTATCACCTTTTTGGTATACGTATGTTGATGTTGCATTAATTGCATATCTTTGCGTGACTACCTCCACAGTGAGGAGTTCATGCATAAGAATACATCTGTTTAAGCTGTGGGTACAGTAGGATGGAAAAGCGGTCACTCCACACTGGCAGCAAACACATTATTAATAGTTATGTACACAATATTTTCTAAAATACTGTAGGTACAGAAACAGTCCTTAACAGTGAAGGTTGACAGCTACTGAAGATCAAACATCCTCGGGCCTCTACATCACACAAAACTTTGACAAAGGTGTGAATTTTGTTCAGTCATTGGCTTTTAAATGTGACTATCAGTTGCAGGGAGACCACACATTGCACTGAGGCCTTTAAATGAAGAGGACCATTGTCTCTGTCTTTACAGCAGGTCTGCCACTGAGCGTCACTCAGCGAGACTGGCAGGTTACGAAGGCATTGGCAGTGATGAAATCATAGTGAGGCCGAATTCTTCATCTACAATCCTAAAGGAGATGAGAAAAGGAAGTCACTTCAGATTATAGAAACAACAACCTGGCTTGGCCCCCGTTTTTTTTTTTTAAATTAAAGTCTTTTTCAGTAGTTCCAAAATTACACTGTTATGAAGGTTTTGAGAGTGGTGACCTGGGAACTCACCTCATCATAAATAATCTCCCATTAACAAAGAAATTCTTGATATGATTGTATGAAAGTTATTTAAAGGGAAAAATGTACGTGTAGGGTTGTTAAAGTGCACGTTATAAACGTTATTCAGTATGATTTATAGGACAAATATCAGTTGGTTAGAAGCAATACTTCAGTACCCAATAATTAGTGGTTCCTTTAACCACATTTCCTCCTGCCGGCTTTTCCAAACGTTGTTTGTTTTCCTATTCTTTAAATAAAGAAAAATTAAAGTGACTGTCTACACACTTGAATAATAACAATAATTAAAAGTCAAAAGCAATCCTGTTCCTATGTCAAAGACAGTGCAAAGGCCTTAAAAAGTAGTTTATTTAACTGTGTCTTTGTTCCTTGATAAAATAATTTAAAACCTGTCACGGATCATTCCCTTCTGGGTTTTAGCTGTATCTTCAAATTCCTTTTCACTCAAGAAAAAACAAAAAAACAAAAGCACATTTTAAAAATACACACGCTTTGTTCAAACTCATTCAAAGACTGTAAAGGATTAGTAAATACTACAAGTGAGACACAAAGCTGATTGGATGAAGCATTGTTAGGGTGACAAATCCAAGCTGTGAGCATGTTGCGTATCCACCCCGGCAGGTGTAAAAGGTTTGCAGGATGAAGGGCAGAAAGCAGATGTGATGATGTAGTCCCACTTTTATAGTCCATGTTAGATGCAACAGGTCCATTCTTCTCTGTGGTCCATACAGTATGTCATGCTGGTGTGGTTGAAGCTACTTGACAGACAAAGCTGACATGGTGGCATTTCATAAGCATCCTACAGATGCTCCTTTTGGTCCGTTTACTAGTTGTTAAATCGGGGTGCAGAGCTGGCTTGCAAGCGGAAATGTCTGATGAGGGTCAGTATTGCCGATTGACTGTCTGTATGTGGGTGCTTACTTAAATGTATGACGTATGATGAAGAAGTAGTAAAATATAAACAAAATACTCTGAAAAAAACATAATTTCTAACATTCTACTGTTATAAATGAACTTTGAGTTCCAGTAGAGCCTTCAAGGCAAATTCTTTAAAACATTAAATATGCTATAAGTTCCCAGAAGTAAGGCTTTCCCTCTTTGACATAAAAAAAATCCTGACTTTGAGTTAATTTTTAACTTTTAAAATAAGGTGTACTCTTGGTTTTCTATACATTTTCCAAAAAGAGTTATTTCCTTTATCTATACGCAATCCTCTCTTTCACTTTCCCAGGATTAAGTCCAAAACAAGCCTTTACTATGCCAATGGCACACTGGCCTAATTGTGCGTTCAGTTAAAGTGTCTCCCAAAGGAAGGAAATGAAACCTCCTCCTCTTCCCATTTGCACTGAAACTCAAACCCCCTGACTCTGCTTGTGTTTGAGAGGGTGAAAACAGAATACAAGCCTTCACTGGTGGTGAGAAAGACACTCAATGAGCAGTGCACGGCGTATTCAGCCACAGGGAGCGATGGCCCAGTCAGCACAGAGGAGCCAGGCCAAACTGTGCCCGATGCACTGAATTTATTTTAAAATAATAACCGGATAGAGGAGAAAATAAAGTCAACATTAGTAAAGATTCACCTTGACTAAATGACACTGAGGATATATGATTTGGAAGAGGTTCATTTTAAACTCCATGTTGGGAGAGCCAGTGGTAATGCCACAACAGTAAAAGCTACGCTGATGAATGTCATTGCCATTGGGTACAGATTTACATCAAGGTCATCCATCTTTTCCAAAGCTTTAACCACTGGAATGTAAAAGCAAGTCTCATCCTAAACCAAGCGATTACCCAAGGGCAACATTTCATCATACATGCTCAAGGGCAGAGTGCGGGAATTACGGCCCCCAGCAGAGGGCTGGGCTAGCGGGTCAGGCAGAGTTATCTGTTGGCTTTGTATTTGGACTTGCTGGCATCACGTGGCTCTTTGCTGGGGTTGCTCCAGTCATCTGCCTCGGGGCTGGTCTTGTAATGCCGCCACGCTGACTTGTTGAAGACAGGCAGGCGCTCGAAGGACTCACTGGACAGGGCCTTTAAATGGAGGAACAAAACACAGGGGCCAGTAAGGACTCGCATTAATTCATTAAAACTGAGGGAAAAAAAACACTGAAGGCTGAGACGATTAGCTTAGCTTAGCATAAAGACTGGAAGCAAGGGGAAACAGCTAACTGACACTTTAACTTTATTTATAAATCAAACAAAAGAGGTATAACATGTTAAGTGAGCTACAGAGTTGCTACATAGATTTTTTTTTTTTTTACATTTTGACAGAACTGAGCTTGCTGTTTCCCCCTTGCTTTCAGTCTTTATGCTAAGCTAAGCTAAACTAAGCTAAGCTAAGCTAAACTAGAGGTCTCTAGTGTCACACTTTTGACATTTTTGGAAAATAAGCTGTCTGAGTGAGATGAGAAGCTCAATGCTGCTGTGTGTTATGAATATGAAGCCACCAAGCAGCTTTTTAGCGAAGGGTAGGATAAAGATTGGAGTCAGTGGGAAACATTGAAGGGTAACAAAAATCTGTCCACCGAAACCTCGAAAAGCTCATTAATTAGCATGTTACAGCTCATTTGCTTAATTGCTACAAAAACTGAAGTGTACTGCCGCTAGCGAACTAATCTGCTAGCATGTTAGCTGCCTGCTGTGCTCTGTTTGAGACTTAATTATGAATATAATGATAGTGTGTTTTTATTTAAAAATGTTACCGGGGACATATTTAAATAACTGATTATTGAAAATGATGTTGTTGTACTCATTATTACGACGGCACTGAGCTGTGCCCTTTTCAGAATCTCCTGTTTCTCCAGACAGACTGGTGAAAGACTTTTGCTTCATAAATAAGTAACTTACATTCAAGTAACTCATATTGATTGATGTCACCTGAATATTGTTAATAATAATATTATATTCGTGAATATGATGTCATATTTTATTTTTTACTTCCAGTCTTTATGCTAAGCTAAGCTAACCGACTTCTGGCTCTAGCCTCAGATGTAAGTGGTATCAATCTTCTCAACTACTGTAACGCTTAGCAAAAAAGTAAACATATTTCCCAAGATGTCAAACTTGGACCGAGCTGAGTATCATGTTTTTGGAACACAAAAAAAAAATCATCATTGCAACATGCTCCACATTTCACTAGCTCACTTTACCTTCAGATAAATGACTGCATCGGTGCCCACACCCTCCATGGAGTAGAGTTTCAGGTCCCCCTGGAAGTATCGGGCATAGAGCCTAGAAATTGGCAAACCGTAGCCAAAACCAGCCTGGGTGGGGGAGGGAGAGGGGCAAAATTGGATTTCCTAGATGTCATGCTGTATATAAAAAAGTATGGGCTAAAAAGATTTGAAATGGTCATGAGGATCAATACTGATTTGATTTTGTGTGTGTGTGTGTGTGTGTGTGTGTGTGTGTGTGTGTGTATATGTGTGTATATGTGTGTACCAGTGGGACAGCTCCTGGCTCCAGGCTTGGTGTAGGGGCGGTGGAGTACATGTAGTTAAACAGACGGTCTATCTTCCTCAGAGGAACTCCACCTCCTCTGTCACTGATCTGAAGACGGATTTTGGGAAAGACGGGATGAAAGAGCAAGACAGAGAGACAAATATTTGTCTAATCATTTGTGTACTTGTGTCTGATTTACCTTTATGGAGAGATCCTCTTTACCCAGAGTGACTTTTGCTTTTACTGGTGGTAATCCCTCTGCACTGTTCTCATGAAGCTCCACTGTGGCTCGCATGGAGTTCTGCAAACACCCACAGACTTAATTACTCAGCACAAGTCCTTATAGAATTATAGTCACATTACAACTTAATTACATTTAAAGAGCGCTGAACTGGTTAAGTTACTGGCACTGATGCTGCACTGCTCACCTTGAAGAGCTCAAACAGCATGTGGAAGAGATGAGAGGGCACATACACAGCCTGGATGGGCTTTTTAGGGGCCTTCACTGGTAGACAAGAATGTGAAAAGATCACACACAAAGCCGCTTCTTTTGAAGTTAATGAGATGGTGAACATTGTAATCACAGGACTATATTTGGACTCAGAAGCTGCGCCCACAAGCTCTAAGTAGACTTGGTAACAGAGCACATTGTTTCATTACAGCTGTGTGATAGATTACAAGGAGAAAACTATCAAATGCATGAAAGGATGGATTACTGCGCAAAAGGAAAAAAATAAATCTTACTGTTAAACTCTTCAATCTTCAGCTCAGGAGAAGCCAAATAGTACTTCTCACACAGCATCTTGGCAGTGTCATAGGCATCTGATACAAGAGGCAAAACAACATGAGTCTGGGTAGAACAAGTAGAATACATGTGCTGTTTATATCTGGATTCTTGTTACAGGGCACAAATGTAGCTTTCTGTTCCTCGCTGGGTCACAGAGAGTGCAGCTTTGGATCCACGCTGCTGGAATTCTTTAAAAACTATCATTATGTAAACACAGCATTTAGTACCAATGAACTCGGGTTTGTTTGATTTGTGTCGCTGCTGAGAGTCGCTGGTGTGATATAACGTTTCCCGTAAGAACTCACATATTTGCAACAAAGAAAAAAAATAATCCAACCCACAGAGAGCAAAATATTCCCACAACTTTGACTTTCTTAAACTCACCCCTGACGACTTCAGCCACGCTGCAGGTGGGATCAATACTGCCGATGTGTTTTGGATGGGCAGGGTTGGTGTCGTTTCCAAACAGGAGAGCTGCACAGAAAGAAAAAAAGGTCAGCTGGCGAGACGGGATCCAAACAAACCACACAGGTTTTCAGAGACTCACTGTGCTGGTTGATGAGCATGCGGAAAGAGATGCGGTTGGTGTAGAAGCGATCAAGGAAATACTGGATGTTGCTGCTGATAAAGGGGTCAAAGCCAAACTTCTCCTTGTACTCGATGACTCCCTGAGCCATGGTGGGAACCACGTCGTTGTGGCGGTTACGGATCTCAATCAAGAGCTCTAGGAAACTAAAAATAAAATAAAGAAGTGAAAGTGTTTCTTCCTTCTTCAATCTCAAGTTCACATATTTTTCACATATTTCTATCATTCAAAAAAAAAAACACAGCCACCAGCTCTCTTTTAGATTCCCTTTTGAAACTTAACCCAAAAGGTCTATTGGGATAGTTTATTCCTTATTAAACCCTTGACTTTGTTAAGAAATCAGCGGGAGGAAGAACTGGGACTCCTGATGAAGTTTGGGGGAAAACTTTAAATTGGATACATTCCTCTTTTATTTGCTTACGACATACAATGATCCAGTTCAAGGTTTTAGATCGTCTTCCATGGTCTAAAACAAAGAAAACGTTCGCGCCTACTGTCGATCCTACATGTGATCGGTATCGACAAGCACCATCCACCCTTTCAATGTATAAAACCTTTTCAGATGTCTTGGAAGTGCCCATAAAACCTTCCGCTACCACTGCAATATTTGGAGTAGCTCCACAATATAGACATCTTAGTCGCTGACCTGTAAACTATGGATTAAGGACTTTATACATCATTTGACATTAGAGAAATATATGTCTCTATATATATTTTTTTCTGTATATTTTTCCTACTACTCATTTATTATTATTTATTTTTATTGCTCTTTTTACCGTGTATTGTACTTTTATTTTTAATTGCGTTTATCCAACTGTATCTGTGATTTATAAAATGTTTAAATACCAATGAAAAGTTAAAAAAATAAAATGACTGGATCCACCGTGTTTGTTTTTTGCTATTTTGAAGGCCAGAAAAAAGCTTAATCACAATTAGTACCAAGCTTAATATCACTGTTCTTTTATTTCCAGTGAAGTGAACAATTCTTGGAAATGTGCTCCTAAACAAACTGCTTTATCCAAATTCCTATCTCTGTTTATCACACAGGCATTGTTATAGTATAAATACACACCGTTAACTGTACAGTCAGCAGAGATGTGTATTAAGGGGATTAGCTGCAGTGGAAGAGGGACTCTAGACATAAAGACATAAATCCAGCATACAACAGCTGGGTGCCTCACAGAGCTGTACTTACTGTACACGTATTGTTCTCGCTTTTATGAATGATTAATTAAGGCAATATTTACTCACTCATTCAGAGCGTGAGCATCCTCTGGCTTTCTGTTCTCATAATCCAGCAGCTCCACAAAGCTTTGCATGTACCTAATAAAGCAAACAGAGGTCAAAAGGTAGCTTTTACACACACCTTCTTAACAATACTACTACTATAAACCTTATCACCAGACAGCCATAGAAAGGGTATCTCTTGAGGAAGTGTCTCACCATTTCTGCACCAGTCTGACGGAGGGCTGGCTGAGCAGGTTATCAGGTAGCAGGTTTACCTCTCTCATGGTGTTGGCCAGCCGTACCGGCAGTTCCTTACGCAGGAACATGTAGGAGGTTTTCTCACAAGCATTGTCCCTGCCTGAAAGCAAAATAATTTTTTTGTTGAAGCTGCAGCACCGAAAGTGGCCGACACAGTTGTCACTTTTCCTGCCAAGATATACTGTATACTCAGGTAGTTAGTTAGTTTTTCATTGTCATGGTGCCTCATTGATTACAATGTGTTTTTTGTTCTCTTGTTGTCAAGTGAAAACCAAGGTAACACAAGGTAACTGCCAGTTAAAACCAGTTCAGTTAAAACTGATGGCATTATGCCAAAATATGATCTTTATGAACTTTAAAACACTCCTGAAATGTTTTGTTTTCACCAAGTTACAAAGATTCAACAAATAAATATATATATACATTTCATATGTGAAGTTATGTACCAAAGTGACCAAGTGGTAAACATACAAGCAGCCAGAGCTAAAGTCTATTGGTTGTGAGCTGTCAGTCAGTTTCAACCTTTAATATGATACCTTAAACTCTGCTATCTGGCTGGAACTGTATTTACTGTCCACCAACATTAGCTTGAACCATACAAGGAAATCATAAATATTGTTACCCAGCAGAGAGGGGGGCGGTCATGGAAAGGTTAGGGTGGATTTATGTTTTAGATCTAAACAGGAACCACTGAATTACTGTGGTGTATTGTTAACTGTCTTTCTCGAAAATGACTATGTGGGAGCCGACTTTGCATTTTTTTCACAACCTTAATTTGACCAAAATGAAATTTACACAGCATGCAAATAGCCTGGCCTCTCTTATGTAGGCATGCGAGGACTCACTTTGAAGCATATGAACCATATTAACCCTCAGCAGAGAAATAAAATCCACTAAACACAGTGAAAATCTGTTTCAGGTTCTTCCAGCTATTAAAAAGCAAACAATGTTAAAGTTTGGCAACTCATACAACTGCAGCAAAATGAAAGGAAATGTCCCATCATCTCTCCTCAAAGGAAAGGCTTCCCCTGACTCAGCAATATAAAGAGGGGGCTCATTAACTATAAAATGGGGCAGTGAAACCTCGTAATACTGACTCAGCCCTGGAATAACCCACAGACTCTGCAACTACTGACAATCCCAGGACGAGGTCTCAGTGGTTCCTGTTTGAAACACACCAATACGACATGAACAATTACTGCTGACAAGATCCTCACTGTGTTTTCTTGGTCCAAACAAATGGCGCACACTCAGGTCCACAGCTGTGAGAACAAATTACGTAACAGCGATGACTGTGTTTAATCAGAGATGGATTAAGAAAAGCTTTGAGTGAGGCTGCCAACACTGTCATCTTGTGTTTCTCATGTCAGAGCCTAGCACAGTTATTAACTCTACATGCAGACAACAAACAACATTGCACATACAAAACAAAGACCCTTCATGTGACTTACATATGTGTCATACTAAACTACAATGACCCAGGCTCTAGAAAAAGCTTCTAAAGATTGAAAACCTTGTTGAGTAACAAGGAAAAACAGGAGGTAACATGAGCTGCATCCTCCACTGCATACGTGCTGATGTCCCAGTCTGAGTGAAGTTAACCTGCATGGATCAAGCAGGTTGTCACATGTTCACATGGTAAACAAACCTGCAACAGAAAGCTGCCATTCAGAGCCATCAGCATGCATGAAACAGTGTGTGCTGCTATGGCTGGGTTACTAAAAGTAAACATCCAATTCAAATGCCACATCTGATTATGACAAACTCATGTTACATGGCAGCTTGTGGGTGAGTCTGCTATTAATAAACAGCCAAGAGCTTGCCCTGTGATACTTAAATAATCCACATAAATATGGACTCAAAAAGACACAACACAAGGCAATAAAAACAAGGCCTCTTGTTGTCTTCCTTATCAGCCAGTCACTCCTGTAAGAAGACAGCCCTGCAGCGTTACCTACCAAAATCCAGAAACTGCTTAATGGAGAGCGGGGACGGCGAAAATCTGGAGTAATACTCGATTTTGGGGTTGGCGTTTTTCAGCAGAGACGTTAGGATCCTCATTTTGAAAGTCTAATAGTGATGTCTGGATGTGAACGTGAGAATGAGAGTCAGTGAAGACGCGACCATTTCATCCCCGGTAGTGTTGACAACCGTGCGGACAGTCCTCCTCTCTCAGCGGCGTCCACATTACTTCCAGCCTCCAGCGGGCCTCCGGTGGTCTCACAGCGACGGGATGAATAAATGTCCATAAGGTTACATGACAGACAAACAATATACTCTCAAGAGGGCTTCCTGGAGCTACACTGTCCAGACATTCAGAGCGGCTAAACACTGTCAGGCTAACCGGAGTTAAACGTAAACTTCCGGGTAGGTTTTTCAAAATAAAACAACAGGCCGTCTAATGTAGCGGAATAAGTTGCAGAGTTTGGAGGGTATTGGGTAACTTAGTGGAAACACTAAATAGCAAATTTGGTATTCATTTTTTACCGTGGTCCTCTTAGCATATGGTTTGTACTGGCTTTGTTAGTACTAATTTTTTTTATTTTTTTTATTCAAATCAATTATAATCCATTATTAAGGAAAATGTTGCCATGTTTTGGAAATATATCTTTGCTTGTTTAACACTCTCCAAACTTTCATTTGCAAACAATTACGACCATGCTCGAAAAGGGTACAACCATTGTCAAAATGAAATCAAAAGGAACAGATAAACACTAAAGTAAAATAAAAAAGTGGAATACAAATAACACGCATGTCATAAGAAAAACTAAAAGAGAACAAGACTAAATAAAGTGGGTTTCTGTTATGTGTTACTACAATATTTAAGTAAAATAATTTGTTTGGGTTTGTTTAGAAATGCTATGAAATTATTGAAAACTTCCATTGCAGCAGAGTTAGTCACACTAGATGTGCTATAATACAGTGAATAATGGAGCCTATATAAAAAGAGTTCATCATTTTTAGCTCATCAGGGGAAGACTGAACTTCTGGAAAAGGGCTGCAGAGCATCTGGACAAAAGTCAATTTATTAACAACTTATTGACATTTAAGCCTGTGGGATTCATTAGAATAAGAACACTTTATATATGAATTAACATTTATACTTGGAGGTGACATTTTTTGCCGATGGCTTATTTAATATGAAACATTCAACACCTTGTTTAATGAGTCAATATTTGTAAATGCAGCCTTAATTTTTTCACTCATGATGCTTTCTAAATGACTTACTAACATTTACAACCCGCAGACCTAATGCCTTATTAAAAGTGAGGAACAAAAGTATAAACTGTAATAACAGCAGTGACTTTATTAATGACTCAGCCAGAGAGATTTTCAGAAGTTGTTCTTTTAACTGGCTTTACTTGATTATCTGAATAAAAGCTACTTTCCCCATGATTAAAGTAATGGATCAACATATAACAAAGACCAGCCTATTAGTATTTATAATTTTAATTTAATTTTAGTAATTAAGTAACACATTAATATTTTTGGGCAGAATAATTGCTCATAAAATACTGACTGTTGTCCCATCAGCCAGTTTAAACGACAGACCCCTTTGAATTACTGTATTGAATTGAATAAATAAACTATCTATCTTGTTGAAAGAAACGTTTTATTATGAAGGTTAAATCTCCAGACTTCCGGTCCATTTGGGCTGCTGTGACGTTTACAGACAGCACGTCACGTACATTCGAAAGTCTCGGCTCAACCGCACTTGGCTCGGGCTCGTCGACGCACTGCGCTGATTGGCTTATAACCAGGAAGTGATAAACAACAACAGCTCCATTGGGACGCATGCGTGTCAATCAACAGCGTTGACGTTACCTTGTTTATCCGCGGCCCCTTGACTGTAATACACAACGTATTTACACTCACAGACAGTCAGTGGGTATACATGTAAAATATCTGTTATGTGTAGTGTTCTTACGCGCTACAAAATGTCTCATTGGACTCTTATATATGTATATTTTACTGTAGGGAGATTATTGCTATGACAACGAGCTCACAGTAATGACAACAAGAGGGTGATGATGACAGGGCAATCCCACAGAAGGTCAGGTGTCTACCAGATGCTTTCTACTGTCACCTAGTGGCCCATGGTTAGAACTACAATGTAAGATGCAACTGAGTGGAAAAACTGAACATACTGAGGCAAATGACACCACAGAGAGTCATACAGTGTTTTCATTTCATGTAAGGATGTTTAAAATGCTTACATTGTACACATAGCATGGTAATAGTGACAGTAAAAGACCCAGTGGTTGAGACACAGAATGCAAATGCAAAACTAAAGTATAGTTTTATCATCATTTATGAGATACTACCTCACAAAAATACAAACAATTATATTTGCGGTCCCATTATTTCCCCTAATTTCCTATAACTGAACTGATATGTAATTCAAAAAGGAAAAAGGAAAGTGATTTGGTACTTCAGCTGGCACTTAAAAGAGTCTGTTAGTCAGCGTACAGCAGGTAGGCCACAACTGTAAAATTAGATATACAATTCAACATACATGGAAGATAAAATGTCTAAAAATAAAATAATAATAAAACAATGTTTTTTGGGGTTTACATTCAGTAGTTCCTTTTAAGGAGTTTCTGTGGAGATCAACAACTGCACATCAAACTAAAGTATCACCAAACTTTTTCTCTGTTTCCCCTGAAGTTATTACTAAATCACAAAGTATAAGGGAATTACAGACCTGTAAAATAAAATGTTACCAAATGACACTCTAATATACTGTATATGCATGGCATTTTTGTTTTGACAAAAAAAAAGAAAAAGAAAAAATTGACACAAAGTGGGAATAAGTAAATCATTTCCACTGGATCCCTCTGGATAGGGCGTGCAGTTGGTGTGCAAACAGTTTCCAAGAGTTTGCAAATCTGTGACCCGTAATGAACATCCAACAAGATAAATGTGCATATAATTCATATTTATATTTATTCATATTTACTTATATAATCTCTTAATCAAAGTACAAATGTCACACTCGCGCACGCACACAAACACTCGCACACACACGCACACACACACGCTCACACACACACGCTCACACACACACGCACACACACACATTCTGAGCTCTCATGCAGATACGGGGATTGCAGCCATCTTGGTGTGTTCGTTGTCGTTACCATCTTCCACAGGTAAAGGATCGTACTGTCTACGATACAGGAGACGTGTTACCAGCGTGATGATGAACATCTCCAGGATCAAAAGCTGCTGACTCATCACTGGGGGAGAGACAGAGAGGCGCAGAAAGTAAGTTCAAGGAGTATTTAAGAAGTCAGTCATGTAACTGAATGAATAGAGATATGAATCGATCATTACAGATAACACGAGGATGAATGGATGCATGTTGACTCACTGTATCCTTTTGCTGAGGCAGAGAAGGGTGGACTGCAAGCAATGGTTCCATTCAATGCCAAGATGTTGATGATAGCCGTTTGCAGCTGGCTCAGGATCAGCACCAGCTACAAACACACACACACACACACACACACACACACACACACACACACACACACACACACACACACACACATACAATGTTTAACCTGACAAACAGAATGCTGGAAAATCCTGTAAAAAAACGTATGATAGCCCTATAACCTGACATGTAATTAGAAATGTGTGTTTACTTAGACTTTACTGTCGGGCACATGTGTGTTTAAAGCATCTCTTGTGTTCTTACCTGGTACATGGCGTACTTGGGGATGATCTTGAGGGTCCGCAGGGCAGTCCTCAGGTGCATGAACATGATCGCTACAGGCCACAGGGCTATGATTGTCAAGATGCCCACAAATGGGTTGATCCATATAGCAGCTCCGGTAATGGACAACTGAAATGTGGTCACACACACGCAGTTAGAGTCAGAAGGTCAGCAAAGGCAACAGGAAAGAATAAGTATGAGAGAGTGTGACCAATGCAACAAAAGATAAGAAAGACGTGTCGCATATATATTTTTTATTTGGTAATGGGCACTGTCATCCCTCCTCATTTTTATAACAACACTAACATTGTTATGGCTCTATAAAGAGTCTATAAAGCCTACGTTTTACTTCTTCTTACACCGAGTACCTTTAATCTTATTTCTTTATGAGACTATTCCTTTGGTGAAATAGAGAACACGTTATAATGAGTATAAGAAAACACATGTTTGAGTAAGTAATGAGTCGGTCAATGCAACTAAATGTAAATCATGAATTCCTGTTGCTAACTGTTAAAAGATAATGAAGTCACTATGAGTTTATGTGATTAGTAAGTCTTTGTTGGTTATTGAATATTAACTCACAGTTAGTTCCTACACTAATTTATACGCCACAAACCACCTTTCAGGTCCATGCATTTATAGTCTCATATAAATATGAAGCTGCCGTCAGATACATCTACTTTTTGCTTCATGCCATAACGGTCTTCATGTCAAATTCACAAGCTCTGAGGTGGAATGAGACTTCTTATTTTATTTTTGAAAGTGAAGCATAGCATGAAGAGACGGCTCCACTAAAAACAAAAACATCTAACAATTGTGCCTTGTTGTGCCAGGAATCTGTGAACTGTTGGGTCATGCAGGAACATGTCAGATGCTGGATATGACTGCCAGTTTGAGCAAAACGCTACCGTCAGCATGCAAACTCCCAATGCTATTATGCTATTATTATGTTTAGCAACTGTAATCAACCTCTAAGTTTACCATGCTGTGCTAACATTTGCTAATTAGCACTAAACTCAAAGTGCAGCTACAAGCAGATTGGTATTTAGCCATAAACCAAAGTATTTCATGGCAATCTATCCATTAGTTATCAAGATATTTCAGTCAACCAACAGACATACAGCTAGCACAGCTAATAAAAACAGCTTTATAATTCAGAAAGGATGATCAAATGCACGGGTCTGAAATGATCTTTTCAGTTTAATTAGATTCCAGCTAATTGTATTGCGTATAAATTCATGTTTGAAGCAAATGTGAGTTAAAAACCATTCATTAAAAATTCATTAAGCGTTCAAAAGCTCACAGCGTCTTGATCAACAGGAACTCATAACACAGTCTGCATTAAATTATTAATCAAATCATCATGGTTGTGCTCATTTCTAGATAACCTAAACTACAAGCAAACAATCGTAAACGAAAACTAAAAGTAAAAGCTGAAATCCGTAGTGGCACAATGGTAGGTTCTGATGATTCATTTAACAATAAAAATCTTGGAAAATAACCAGTACAAGAGAAATCAGGGATACAATAACACTGAGTGATGCTATCTAGTATTTGCAACTTACGTCCGCCAGGTCAAAAGTCCCATTGGTATAGAGGACAATAGAAAGGATGGTGAAAACAATCTTCAGGACAGCAAACTGGAAGGAGCCAAGTTTGAGCAGGAAGAGAGAGCGCCTGGAGGTGGAACAAAGGAAATTATTTCACAGTAGCCACTAATGACAGAAAATGGCTTTAGTCTCTCCCTATTGGCCTGAACGTAAACTGAATAATTATCGCAGGATGCTGCGAACAATTCACCTGACCTTGGACACATCTTCATGGCTTCAGGCATGCCCATACTTATGTGTGCAACAACAACATCAACAGTCCCTCTGAGGTGCGTTATACCTTTCAGATTTCTTATAAACAGAACAGTGTGACCCATGAGGGCACAGAGGATTCTAAGACTATGTTGTTGAAAAGAAACTGGGCACTGCGTCAAAGAAGACATGGCTGAGCATATCTTGGCTTAGCTATCCTCACTATCACTGTTGTGTGCAGCAGGATTTTCTGTGTTAAGTGGTGCATAGCGTTAGAGAGACGCACATCTGTCGTTGTGTGACACCAGCGTGCACCTATTAAATAAACAAATAGTGTATGGAAGACTGTGTGTGCTGACAGATTACATTTAAACAGGATGGCTTGATCAATCAACTGTGAAATAGTGAAAATGCAGCCAGTCTGTACTCCAAGAAGGGGCATGATGGGATTGCTGTCTAACAGTGTGCTACGATACAGACTTCCGCCTTGAAAGAGTTCAATGGCCAGGAGAGTGTTCAACCTGCGGTCAGAGAACAGAAGCGTACAATCCAGTGCTGTATGTACGGAGGATCTCTGAGGTTATGCAATCTTTAAAAGGGCCAAAAGCAACATCAAACACCTCACTGCACTAGGCTGACCCCTCAAACAACACGTGGTCGTAACAATCTTAGAAGCTGCACAGGGTCTGGGTTTCATTAGCAGTGCAGGATGTTACACTCACTTCAATAACGCAGGGAATGGTTAAGATTAAAGTATCATTCTGGTTTATTTCAATCAGGTGTATTTCCCGTAAATGTGGCTTATGTGCACTCATCACCTCCACTGTAAAGATTTGGGGAAACGAGTACTCGTGTAAAACAGTGTATTTCAGGGCACCAAAACCCTGTGGGAGGGATTTCTGTTCTGTGCAGCTTTCAAATACAGACAGTTAAAGAGAAAAGTTTTTGGAAAATATGCTCTCTTTTTGAAATAAGCACTTTCTTGCTGAGAGTGCAGTGAGAAGGTCGACGCCACTCTCATGTCCGTGTAGTAGCTTAGCTTTGCATAAAGACTGGGAGCTTGTTAACAGGTTATATCTCATTTGTTTAAACAGTACAAAAATCAAAGTGTAAAACAATTTGCCAGAGCCAGGCTAGCCCTTTTTTTTTTGCAGGCTTTGGGCTAAGCTAAGCTAACTGGATTCTGGCTTTGGCCTCATATGTAATGGTCTCTCTGTAAGAAAGCAAATAAGCTTTCAGCAAAATGTTGAATGATTGCTTCAATGAAAGACAACACTCTACACCTGCTAAGGATGGCCGCGGTGTGAGAATCATTCGAGCTCTGCTTTCATGCTCACCCTCACCCTAACCCTTCATTCAAATTTAAATCAAAACTGAAAGCAAAAGCTGAAATAAGAGGTTGCACAGAGTAAGAGACAGAGAAACCTCATGTTTCTATATCAATATTTACACTGCTGAATGTACAGTTGACACCAAATCTCTTGAGGCTTAATAATCTGATGAAAAACACTCTCTCCCGCCAAGGATAATGGAAGTTCTAAGTACACAGTTTCTGCTGTTATTAAACTAAATATGTGCTTCCGAGAGTGTTCCTCAGAAACTGTTCTCACCCAAGGTGTTGTTAGGGAATGTTCGGCCCTCAAGGCAGAAAACAGCAAGTGTATTCAAGTAGTCCAGTGATTCCTCGCTTCAGGTATTGCGGAACATATCTGCAAATATGCTATGCTAATGCTAAGCATGCCATGCAACCCGTAACCTAGCGCCCTCGCTATCAGCGGTATTTCCTACAACCGATGATGCCCTGCTGAACACTGGTGAGCCATGATGGTTTTAGTATTGCTCTGGAAGATGTGATGGTGCGTGCATATTGAGAAAGCAACCCCAACAGGAACGCTTACTGGAGAGAAGAGAAACCACTCCATTGTAGGCATGCCTCAAGCCTCAGCCACTTTCCCACTGGTGTGTAACGACTGTGCAAGGTGCCAATTCACCTGAACAACTTTTAGTGAAACAAGAATGAATGAAATTTGTAATTATTGTACTTTATTAACATTTATGACAATTATTAAAATTGCTAAAATGGTTGCAGTATTGTCACTTTAAAGCTACTTATGCTGCTATTGAAATTAATTGAGACGGATTAAAAGTTCCACATTTGTTTTTGAAAGGCCTTATTATTTGTATTTACTTTGAGTTCTGTTTCCTTGATGTATTTCAAGTGTTATTTTTTTGTTGTTTGGTACCTATATTCATAATAATAGGAAAATGCAGTTCTGTGTGTTTCATTGATCAGCTCCATAGTTAAATTTACACTAGCCTAGCATTTGCATAATAAGTGAGAAAAAAAATATTTAAGGGTTCACAATACGTGCTACAGTTGTATTGATGACGCTAACCACAGACTGTGTATTACTTCAGTGTTTACCGTGTGATGGCAACATATGGCAGGCAGCAGCAGCAGCAGCAGCATGGCCCCGTGCTGATCTTCAGTTTGTGCCTCCCTGCTCGCTTCAGGAAGGCCTCGTCGCCACCCACCTCCTCCAGCATCAGGATCAGGAACTTGAACACCACAACGGCAAAGTAGCTACAGACAAATAAGAGGAGGAATGATGGGTAATTGGACATAAGGAATGAGGCAGGGAGAGTGAGTTGTGCAGCAAGAATGAGAGAGGTATGAAGAAGGGAAATTAGCACATGTGGGAGAGTTTGGAGAAGCAGGATCAGTAGAGAAGTAGAGGAAATGAAAGTTACACAACAGTATCACTGTTTTCTATAAAAACTTTCAGTAGGATATGACAAATTTCCCCCTCTGTGATTCTTTTATTACAGAGCTCTCTGAGAAACAAGGAACACAGCACGGGATGAAAGAGGAGTAAGAGAGAGGGAGAAGAAAAGAGACCCACCAGGCAGAGGTCATATCAGTAAACATAGTGGCTCTGGGGATCCACATCCCCAGACACGACATGGTGCCAATCACCTGGAAAAGAGAGGAGAAAGAGGGAATGTGATGACACAGAATATATTTTCCAATACCAGTGCTGGAATGGGTAAATATATCCAGAGTTTTTGACAGCCTTACCGGTGCTGCCCCATTCACCCAGATGATTATACTCTTCTTATTAGCAGGAACTTTCCTATAGATGTAGATACACTCCTCTAGGAAGACCAGCATGGATACTGCTGCCATGAAGGTGAGCACCGAGTACAGGATGATGCCAAAGATGTCTAACTCTGGAGGAAGAGAAGGGAAATGACAACAAATTAGCTCTCTTTAAACTTAAGCTGCGATGCTGAACCCAAAGGTCTCCAGAAATTCAAACTTGATATGATCTGTAAATGTACTATTATGGGTACAGGGTGATTATATCATATTTATGTTTCTGTACTGAAATGTTTATTCAGGCAGACAGAGTGAAAGTACTGCCAGAAAATAAGAAGTAGCCATAAAGCAGGATGTATCATGTCCTGACAAGACCAAGAGGCTACAGCCATACTCAAGGCTCTATGAGGGTGTACTTGGCACAGCGATGCTTTGAGCTAAACGCTAACATCAGCATGTTCAGCAAGTATAATGTTATATTTATATTCACTATCTTAGTTTAGCATTGTTACATTTTCTACATTTTCTTAAGCATGGTATAATAAGCGCTCAACACAAAGTAGAAGCTGATGGGAATGTCATTAGTTTTGCAGGTATTTTGTCATAGATCGTCGTACTGGACAAATAGATGGCGGTAGGTAAAAAAGTTAAGGGATCAATGAAGTGATGAAAATGAATCCTGATGGGGACACGAATGTGTGTGCCTGATTACATTGTAATCCATCCAATCATTTTGGAGAGATTTCACCAAATACTGTGCCAGTTCATCCAATAGTTGATGAGTTATATCATAAAAAGCAATACATGTCAACCAGAGGTAAAGTCGAAGGGATTCATGTTTTCAGGTGCATGTACAATGTTTCATGGTGAGACATTATGATAGATGTTGAGATATTTCAGTCTTAACCAAAGTGGAGGACCAACAACACCAACACGGCCATCCCAGAGCCGGCTGAAATATTTAGGTTCATAAGAAAACTAGACTTACAAGCAAGTATCACGGGAAACTTTGGTTACATTAGAAACAGCATGTTAACAGGGCAGGTTAACATGCTCAAAGACTAATTTAAAAAGTAAAAGGAGCTTAATAGCATCAAAACTTTTTACAAAACAATTTATCATAATAACAATATATCATCTGAATAATGATAAACGGAGGCCCCTAACTTTAAGAAAAATTGGAGAACCATATTTTGAGGGAATCGCATCAGAGGATATACGAAGTCACAAGTGAATTGCTCAAACAGATGTTCCGGGACCTAGAGATCATGACAAAGCAGCTACGTCCACGATGAAACAAGGAGGAGGAAAAGTGGAAAATGGAAGGAAAAGTGGATTAAATTGTTTCATTGTGTTGCCAGTAATAGTATTCTGGTAATCTGAGTCATTTATTCTCCGACGCCCAAAGTCATTAGCAGTAATCAGCACACAAAAACAAATACGCACATACACACAAACAAACATTCCTATTCAGTGATTTCTCTCCATAGGTGGTCACTATGCCTGCTTGTTTGTTCAGTAGCTTTTTTATCAATTGAAATTGCTCTTTTGAAGTATTTCTAACATTTGTGTTTCATTATTTTTCCTTCATCTCCTTCAACTATTTTGGTCCTTCTGTGTTGTGTTAGTTCTACCCTTAACCATCTGACATCTCCTGCAGCCACATATGTGCAGTAAAGTGGAGACTGGAGAATCTTTTACTGACAAAACTGATCCAGATGGTAGTTTTTGCCCAACCAATAGGCCTACTGGAGTTTTTTTTATATTTTAAATATAAATACATAACTTTAAGGAAAAATTTAAACAAGGGTGCCTTAAATTATTTTTTTAAGAAATGTGACCAAGATATGTAGTGATCTGGACTGAACAATACATTTGTCAGAGCTCTCTGGTGAACAAACCAATAATGACACTATTACTAAATTGACTAAATTTGACATATACGGTAATCTACAGCATATCTCCAGCAATCTATATTATTATCATACATATCTATATTAAAATGGAGGAAAACTGTCTTAAAACTTAATTTAATTTAAAAAATAATGCGTAACAGTACACAAAGCGGGTAATCATTCCCTTATTTAGTCTTAATCATAAAGTAGAAAATGTTTTTTGTTCAACAACATGTTTAAAAACGGTTAGAAACAGGAAAACTAAAAACAACACAAGCCAACTGGTAAAGCGAAGAAACTAAATCTTTAAGTGCAATAATTCATGAATAAATAAAATAAATAAATAAATAAATAACTTTATAATTTAAGGTGTTATTAAAGAGGACAAATGTCCTCAATATCAAAAAGCTTGAATTACCTTATTTCTTACTACTTTCCTGCAAGGTTTTATGAGTTATGCAATGATTTACTACTTTAGGATTTAAGTTATAAAAATATGTCTTAGCCCTATTTAAGTGGATTTTCTCTCTGCATTGCTTGTCAGGCTGCACAACCTCTGAAGCAGGGTTTATGAAGTGAAATGGATAATCCAACATGACTCATACGCCTGAATACTAATATACAACAACACCACCAACCTAGAGGTGTGGATTAATGGATTAAAGCTGATCATTTGTTGAAAAATCCGAAAAAAGAACTGAGCCCTGCCTGAACAAGTTACATGAATCTGGCTCTTTATTTGGATACTAAGCAGGTTTTTACAGCATATCTCAGAGTCCCTGAGAAGGATACAATGTCCCTTGCAAAGGTTTTGTGAAGGAACCAGTTTCTACCACCACCTCGGCCCTTCAGTTCAGTAGACAATTAAAAAGAAACCACAGATGGAGATCTGATCAGGAGCCACGGATGTCATCAGATCAGGGACAAAACTTGGAGATGTCTGTTTCTGATCCGCAGCCTTAAAGCCAGTCTACTCACTGAGGATGATGTCCATGGCGACAGGAGGTTTGTCCATGCAGCTCGGGTGAATAGTTCGGTTGGACCCATTATTCATGCTGGCTGCCGTCGGTTGGACTTTTCACAAAATGCAACTTTTCAGTTTATGTCTCGGCTCCGCTGCTTACATCCACAGACGCTCGGTGCGTACAAGTTGGCACTCTCCTCTCCGCAGATGATCAAAAAAAAAAGAGAGAGTGCTCAAACTATCCACAGAGGGATATATCTGCCTCCCGGGCACCCCGAAACACTTTCTGCAATCGCTGGACCCGCCTCTTCCCCGCTGTCATAGGACAATGAGCCGTCTGCCAAATCGCCACATCCTGGGCATTTAACAGTTAAAAAGGTTTGTTGGCACATATTGTTTTTTCTTAGGCAAGGAAATTTAAAGGATAGGAGGAGGATTTATTGTTTTTCCGTACATTATAATGGTGAAATTGCAGCAATATTGTGCAAGAAATGAAACTTTTTTATTTTTTCTAATTATGACACTCGTAAATTATCATTGTCATAGTCAGTTTGTTATGTTATTGTCATGTGTGGTTGTGGTGTAGCAGAGTGTGGTTCGGTGTGGTGAGAATTAGTACCACTCAAGTCCTCATTCACATACAGTGAGTCTTCATCGCTGAAGGAGCTCAAATGTCCTCCATTTCTAGCCAGTTCTCCTTGTTTTCCAATGAATATTTCCCTCAGAAAGCCTTTCTGAAGCCAGTTGTTCTCATTACAATAGAGTCGCTCTTCTCAGATGGGGATCCCTGGTTGGGTATCATTATTGTTTTTACACATTAAAACTGGAAAAACCCCAGCAACATTGATAATAGGGCTTTTGGGTGGAGGAGGTGAAAGCTTACAGTGTTAGATTTATGTGTGTGTGTGTGTGTGTGTGTGTGTGTGTGTGTGTTGTATGGGATGGGGCACATTTCTTAGGACTACAGTGCCTATGGACAACACAGGCACTCACATCACATGCCCCCCTGTTCCCATAGCAACGTGTGCAGGGGTATGGTCATGTGAGGCATTTGCAAATCTTTTTGCGCCCTTGGTTGCATTCAGCACAGTACTGAGAGGCCTGTATAGAGCAAAACATCACTGAATGAAGTCTAGCATTACACTGAATAACAGAATGACTCAAGTGAAGTTTTTACCAACAAAAATCAAATCTCATCTGGTAATTGTTCAATCTCTCACAAGAACTTCTTTTGGTTGTTATTAATCTTCTTCACCTCACAGAGAAGCCTCACCTCTGCTCCCATTTACATCATCTGAGAATTTTTGTACTTTATCATAGCTACCTGTCTGTTCAGGCAAATGTGGCCACCTGAGGTTAAAGTAACTTAAGGCTATTTTTTTTTCTCCCCCCTTTGTTCAGAGATGAAATCTCTTTATCCACGAGCTACATGTACAGACACATTTCAGGAATGATTACAAAAGATGACTGACGTCCTTAAAACAGGGATCAAGTAATGTAATACACATCTTCAGCACAAAATTACATATGGGAGCTATAAAAGTTGTGTCTCTCGGTATTGATGTGATGATGCATATAGATGTGTTCACCTTCATTACAAAACGTACAATATGACCCATCCATGTCTCACCTTAAGTGACCTGTGGATCATTTGAGCAATTGTATTTCCTGTTGGTTCATCTGGGCACACCTTATCTCACGTTTCTAGTCCACACTCATCAGAAAAGGTTTGTCCCGACTGGCCTGAGTTTGGGAGAATAATAGAAATCTTTTCCCAAGAATCTACAGGAGCATTACTAAGAGGACATTTAAGGGATTCTTGTGAAAAAGAGATGGACTGTGAAGATGATGTCATCTTGGAAAAAGGGATACAAGGAACAGACGGCATGCTAGAAGAGCTGCTATGGTACATGAGCTTTTTTTTTTTGACTCACAGCTGGAAGCCAGACATTCAGATTAAAGTTCATAAACCAACTCCAAAAAACTGTCACCTGATCAGACCGCGTATTTAAGTTTTTACGCTCTGACCTCCTGCCAAGGGTCGTTGCTGGCTATGTTTGTAGATACCGATGTTACTATCCAAAATCTGTTTAATGTTGGATTTTCCCTTTAATGGCTAAACCATCCAAAGGTCTTTAGTGAAACCGAGGCTGCTTTGGCCTTGCGGAGGTCAGGCTTGTTTGGTTTTGAACAAGTCACTGTTTACTCTCTCTCAAAAACTGACACTGAGGTCATTACCTTGGGAGCTTATAGCTCACATGTACTTGGACACGCTACTTATAAATACACATGCACAAAACATGTTCAAGCACTGTCAAAATCATAAAACATATGTACTTTTTCCTTTCTTTGTTTCTTGTAACCAACATTGTGTACGGTTTTGTTCAGATTGCTTTATAAAGATAAAAGATAAAGATAAACTTGATTTTATACAGCAGTATGTTTATATGAAGTGGTTGTCTACTTTAAGTTTCAAATTAGGAAAGAGATTGAACACAATACAGTAATTCCATTGCATCAAATGCAGCAGTATTTTTTACTCACACTTGGCATTTATATTTGCGTATTATATGCCAAGTCATGCTGTTGTCACCTTGGCTTGTGTGCTGTGCAGATCTGCAGAACAGATGTGATACACTGGGGCTTTGTTCAGTACTCGTGTGCCAAAATTATGATTCACAAACCCTTTACAAAGCCACGGCAGGCGCTTTTGTCGAGGAAATTAAAGTGAAGCATGAATGACTGAAGAGGATGAGCAGAACAGTCAACAACGGCCTCAACAGCAAAAGTCAAGGGCCTGAGTGTTAGAGAGATAGCAAAGGTCATGGTTCATTTGGGTCGCTCAATCTCAGTCCTCAAAGACTGATAACTGCCTTCAAATACTGTAGGCATGAAGTAATTTGTCCTGTATCCGAGCTTATCGAAAAGCACTTTTTTTAGACCAAAACCTAAGCAGTGTTTACTTATCCAAATCACTTCCTTACTCTAAAAGCACAAAGCTAAACATACCTACCCATTCAGTCTGCATGCTGTCTAGCAGAATAAAAGAGGAAAAAAACATCAGCAAATCTCACTTAATATCTACATACAATACAATACAACAATTAAAGGGAAAACTCTGGCTATCTTACTCATCCAAGTATGTGTACAGGTCTCGTGGAGTGCTGCCACAACAGGCACTGATGGTCTTTTAGCCACAGCTTCTACCAGCTGCCTCTACAATGGAGGCTTTGAACATGGCCCACTTAGATTCCATGGCCCCAACCTCCTCCATCAGATGTTCCTAGTTCACTCTCCCTACTGATTTGGGTTCACCAGGTCTGTCCAGCAGCCTATCCCACCATCTGATCCAACTCACCACGAGGAGGTGATAGAGTTGACAGCTCTGCTCCTCTCTTCACTTGAGTGTTCAAGACATTGAAGAAGATTAACTTAATTAACCTCCATTAGGGAAATTCTTTTTTTTACTCAATGTTTTCTCTCTCTCTCTCTCTCTCTCTCTCTCTCTCTCTCTCCCCTCTCATACGGTTACAGATCTGATGATACCGTCACAAAGTCAATCATTGATCTTTGGCTTAAGGTGTGTACCAAGTAGCAGTAGCCTAAACGTATGAACCACCAATGCTTGGACATGGTGTTTGTTATGACCATATAAGTCCAATAACAAACACCACTCTGGTTTAGATCAACCCCCCCCTTCAGGTTTCTCTATCATTGCGCGTGTAACTGTTGCATCTTCCAGTAAAACTATAGACTTGAGTCCCTAAATAGAATCCTTTCCAGGACGCCACCCAGAAACTCCAGGAAAGCCAGATACTCTGAACTACTATTTCAGTTATTATCTTGGGTTTTGTTAACAAGTGAGAGTGAAATGGAGTGTGAGATAGATTGGCAGATTGGTGTGACATCAGCAGTAAAGTGAACATTCTACTGGACCATTATGGCGAAGGTGGAGCTGAGTCAGAAGAAGCATCGAGTAATGACCGAAAGGTTGGAGATCGCAGATACAAGCAGCGGTAATTACCTTTCTCTGTAGGGCAGCTGGGCTCAGCTTTACAGATAAGGTGAGGAGATCAGAAGTCTGGCATCTGAGGATGTCTTCTGGGAGTATTACTTTGGAGGTTTTCTGGGAAGAGTGGACCCAGAATTCACTGGAATGATTATATATAGATATATATATATATAGCTCATCTGATCTGGGAAGGCCTTGGGATCGCCCAGGACCTGGAAAATGTTACTGTTGACAGGGAAGTCTGGAATACCCTGCTTAGCCTGCTGCCACTGTGACACGAACCCAAATGAGCAGAAATGGATGGATGGATGGATGGATGGAGAAAGAAGTGAGGTTACCAGACCCCAGTAACTCGCTACTCATCTCTACTTGAGACTAACAGTTCAAGGCTACTTTACTACATTAGGTAGGCGGGCACGTTGCCTGGTGGGTAATTTAGGGCCCCAAGTTTAAATAAAGGAGATTAAATCAAAATGGCAACTCGCTACATTGACTTTGATTCTTTTTTTTTTTTTTTTAAATTGTCCATTGTGAGGCTCATAATGTTATAGCCCTTTTCCATACACGTGCTAACTTGGCGAACTGATGACATTTAAAAGCAGAGCCTTCTTTAGCGTGGTTTACTATTGTACTATGCAATGGTGGAACAATGCAAAGCCAGCTAGTTATCATAGATTTTCAGGTTGTTTATTGTTTCAAAAACAGAGATGGAATGATGAAATGGATCCAGAAGATGAAGCCACCATTCAACGTTTCAAGAGATTGGCAACAGAGGGAAGAAGAACCGGGCTGGCACTGAGGCGATTTGGCGTGTTTAAACTGGTAATAGAAACACACGTCAACACAACATGGTTTTACATGCCGTGGAAAAATAGAAAAGCAATACACCTGCAGGTACAGATCCTGAATTAACCAAAAAAACTGATGAGAGCAAGATTTGACTGGAGGTTTAAAAAAACATTTATTGTTATTTTCACGTTAATTGTGTGGAGGCATGTACTTTCATCACAAAATAGGAACAGTAAAATTAATCAGACAAGAAAAATATATGTAGTCTTCTTCATACATTATCAATATATATACACATATTGTAAAATAGGACATTGTAACAAAAAGAAACCAAAATGTAGCAATAAGCGAGCTATGATAGGCTACATCTGCAAGGTAAATACAGATGTAAAATGTTTTTGTCGACAGAAATCAGACTGAAATTTTTAGATCCTTCCTCCGTTTTCACAGGAGTTGTTATGGCTTCATTTATAAAGTTGAGACAAACCAGAGTAAAGCTAATTTAAAACATGACGCACCTAGCAATAGTTGAAAAACCCCCAAATTCCTGTTATCACGGTAAAACACAATTTTACATAAGTTAGGCGCCATGCTTTTTGAGCATTAGTCAGACGTTATGTATGTACACAGATGTAAAAATCTCATGGCTGCACAGAAGCATTTCTCCCAAGACGACAATATTACAAAAGAACACTCAATTAAGCATTACAAAATACACACGCGCACTTTAGTCTCAAGGCCTAACAGCCCAGAGAGAGAATATAGGCAATTTGTAAAACAACAAGACAACAGGTCCAATGTTTCAGAATCAGTGGCCGTAAGTGACGTGTGGAACAAGCCAGGTTCCTTGCAGATTATACGAGTCATTTTTTTGTCTTTTTCTTTAACTAAATGTATGAGGTTTAGAAAAAATCTACATGATCGGAACGCAACCTTGGCTTGGATCATGATCTCTGACAGTAATTGAATCTGCTAAACTGAGATCAAACCACAGTGTGATTCTGATACTTAGCCACTGTGAGCATAATCCATATAATATCCCCCAATCACCTGTTTGTAAAGAGTAATTATAAATACACTTGGGCTCAAAAGGTCAAACATGGGCACCCGGTTACCTCAGTGGGTAGAGCTGGCGACCCATGTACAGAGGCTGAGACCTTGCTGCAGCGGCCCAGGATTTGAATCCGACCTGCGGCCCTTTGCTGCGTGCCATCCCCTCTCTCTCTGCCCCCCTTTCCTGTCTGTCTTCAGCTGTCCAATCAAATAAAGGCAATAATAAGCCAAAAAGAACACTTAAAAAAAAAAAAAAAAAAAAAGGTCAAACATGATTGGAAGGATCAAACGTAAACATAAAATCCAAAGAGCGAGCAGTTTTTAATGCTCCACCATTGGATCGAATACCCTCAGTGTCCCACCTGTAGCACATTCAGCACAATTGTGACAATGATTACCAAGAAACACACCGTACAACACCACTAACTCACTCTACACGATAGAAACAGCTGTAAACTTGTACATCACAGGAGTCTGGTGGGATCTGGTTAGTAGGAGGCTCATCCAGCAATAGTCAGGGATGTGATCAGGTAGACATGAGCAATGACAGACATCAGGAATTTTCTGGGTCTCCCTCCAATGTGAATCGGAAAGTTGCATATAAATAACAAAATTCCTTGGAAAAGGATGTAACTCATTCCTGAACAATTGTTATTTGGTTATACTGATAAAATAGTCCATTCTCAAACAGTTACTCACAAGGTGTGTTATGTAGAAGTCATGAAATCGAATCTCTCTTCCTTTACAGATGTTGTTAGACTTTAAGTCACGTCCCAGATGTTTAACCCAGACGCAAGACAGTTCACTGTTAAGTTTTACACATGCTGAGGCTCCTTTAACAGTTCAAGGTCACAAAACTGAGCTCACTCTGCAAGCACAGAGAACGCAAGGTGAGCAGAAGCTATACCGACTATTTTACAGTATATCAGATGGGTTCAATTCACTTTCATTTGAAATCAAATGTGGGTGTTAGGGTGTTATTATAGGAAAATGATGCATATTAATGACATATTACGAAAATATTTAATTCTGAAGAATGCTGCACCTGCAAATTAACCTGAAAGTGAATTGAGCCCTGAGCCACATGTTGATAAAGTTCAGAAAAATCTCCATCTGAATGAGGGCAGATAAGAAGAGCATTGCTGCCACCTGTTGGCCAGCACTGGTATTGCAAGGACATCATGGCCCACTACAGGCAGGAGGAACAGATGAACCTTGTAGAAAATATTGCGCCACAACGACTGGTAAAAAGAATTTGGTTATGATGAAATTGGCCAGTGAAGATAAAGCTAGGATGTTGTAAACACTTCAGGTTCAGAGGTCAGAGCTCCTGACAGGTCAGCCCTTATTTGGCAATGAGTGTTGGTGTCATAGTAAAGGTTGAAACTGTAGAAAAACAGAACGTTGACATTGTGGGCTGAGAATCACTGATCGGCATATGACATAATTAAATGACCTTAAGAGAACAGGTAGTGACAGACGCCGCACATTGCGCTGTGTGAAATACATCTCCCAGGTCAAACTGTCCATTTATAAGCAGCATGTTTTAACACAAGTTGGCCACAAAAGCACATAAAACAGATTCTTTTAGTCTGTTAGTTCTTTAAAAAAAAGAAAAAAAAAAGACTGCCACTTTAACTGTTAAACACATTCGCACACACAAACAATACGCCATAAATCACATGAACATCCAACATCCGTTATACCCAGGATGCTTTTTGGACATGATAAGAAAGCAGCACGTTGTTTGATGGACATTGATAATCTACAAAGTGCAAATGTGCCATCTTGTGCTCTGATATCCAAAACTCCATCCAAAACCCAGCTACAGTCTTCCCTGTGTTGTGCTGGTTCAGTCCACTGAACCATGCAGTAGAGTCCTCTGTAAGATAGTCCAGGTTTTGGTGGGAAACATCCATCTCAAAAGGTGCGGACCACAGATGCGCCCCAACATTATGAGTTAAAAAAAAAAAAAAGACAAAAAAAAAAAGTCACGCAAAGTAAACTGATCCATCTCCACGGGATGTACTGCCTTTCTAAAAACACGGAGAGAGATGTTCAAAACAAGAACGCGCTGCTCCAGCTCGTCCCCCACTCTTCACTGCAGCTTTGTGCCTATAAAACATTTCCTGATGCGACCAGGAAGCTTTTGGCACAAAAAAGTTCTCTCACTAAAAACACCAAACGTAGCACATATTCCCTCCAGGATTCTTCAATTTTCTCATCATCAAATAAACGCTCAAGTTGTGTGAAAAAGAAATCGAAATAAGACAAGGAAATATGTATAGATTTGAATGTGTGACTATTAGCATGTGTGCGTTGGTGTGAGAGCGAACCAGTCTGTCCTGTGGGGGTAGGTGAGATTTGCACTGCATGCAAAAATGCCAATGCCATAGATGCATTACTGTGCTGCGATGGGCAAAAAAACTAATGCTTTTCCATAGTTACTCTGAATGGGTCTGTGGGGATGAGGTTGCGCTGGGAGACGGTTGCCACGGAGACAAACTAAACTGTTGCTGTTGCTTAAGGCATCATATTAGATGACTGAGGAGTTTCTCCTGTGGCAGAGAAGAGACAAAACAAAAAATTATTAGCTACGTGACTGTAGATTACAATCGAAATGTACATCATTTAGTCAGAGCTGTACCCAAACAAACATACGTACAGAGTGAAGTGTGTTTACTCATATTCACCTGGTTAGGACTCGCTCTCCACAGAGATTGTAATGGTTTCACTTTCAGCTGTGAAGCCAAACAGAAAGTTGATAAGGTAACGAGACACCAAGACAATACAGTGAGTTGTTAATGTTAATTCTGTCTGTGAAACATTATCATCCCCGGCCGAGCTCACCTGATTTGAGGGTGTTATTAGCCAAATGCTCTCCGATGTTGTTGGCATGCTGGTCGTTGCTCAGGAGGCGATTCTGTGACTCACTGAGAGGGCTCACGGGGACCTCAGCAGCACTGCGAACATGCCCAACAAGTAAAAAAAATAAGCAAAATGAAGAGTGCATCCACAACATATATCCTTTTCAGAGCCTCATGTAAAATAATATACGTTTTATTACACCAAGATTTATCACCTTTTACTGGGCTCTGGCTGCAAGGTCACAGTGGCCTGCTCTACATCAGAGTTGACCAGCCGTGTAGGGAACGTCAAGCCATCTCCCTGACTGCAGGTAACAAAGAGGAAAGGAGAAACTCAAGATTAAGTTCAGTCAACCTGCAGTTTTCCATTGGAACTGCAGCAAAGGTAACCTGTTACTTAAAAAGAGGAGATCCACTGTTGTCAGCTCTTTTTTATTAGAATGAAAAAAATCTGTCACACACATTTAAAAGAACATTTCTTCATTCAGCTGTAGTGTGCTGTAAATTCAACTAGAGAATACACAAATGGGAAACAAAGTCAATACTTGGCTTGAGTCTAGTATTGGTGACAAGAGCCTCTGTCTCTATCATCTGTGTTCAATTCTAAATGTGTCGCCTTTACCTGGTGAAGACGGGCAGCAGCCAGTACTTCTTCTGGTCTCCAAAGACCTGAGCGATATTCTTCCGGAAACCCAGAGAGAAGCCGTTCTTATCAGAGCCTGTCCTAAAAACAGGTGCTCTGAACGCCTCTGCAAAGAGGGAGCAACACGGAGGGAAGAATGAACAGAGAAGACAAATACAGACATCATTAAACAGCCATTAATCTTATTGGATAAGAGAGGAAAGGAATATTATTTCAAAATTTGGAACTATCAACTTTATATCTTAGACACTGTTGAAAATCTTTTTTTAAAAAAACCCTTTAAATAAAAATCAATGTTGGATAATTACATTAAACAGCAGAAAACACCCGTAAAATGTGTGTGTGTGTGTGTGTGTGTGTGTGTGTGTGTGTGTGTTACCTATAGTGGACCTGTTCTTCCCTACGAGCCACAGGTGGTAGCTGAAGAGGGACAGAATACTGATGCAGAACATGGCTGCCACAAAAAAAAGGAACAGGACGTGGAATTTGGCGTGAGTGTCTGGCAGCTCATTCTGGGGATGAGAGACGGAAGAAGAGGAGAGCGAGAGAGGAATTAATAACAAATTCATATTGGAGGATATTTATGGAAAGAAAGAGAAAGAAGGTTAAAAAAAGACAAAAGGCAGAGTAAAAGAGAAATAAGAAGAGAGTCATGCGAACCACGCCACTGCACGCACAATACGACAAGAACCATGGCAACGATGGTGAGGCGGACACTAAATGCTTTGGAGGATAGCGTGGTTACCTTTGGGCAGTTCTCTGCCGATTTCCTCCGGCAAAGCTTTAGTACAAACAGAAACAAGACTGGTTAGCAACACCAGGAGAGAACAGGTGGGAGGGGAGGAAGCACTTAGAAATCAGCAGGCAAACACAAGTCAAGGCCAAGTTGGGTGAAAGGGGGGGGAATGAAGGACAGAGAGTGGGTGAATGCACAAAGTGTGCCCAGAATGAAGCAAACAAAGGGATGAAAGAGGGAGAGATGAGAGGAAATCGAAGTGGAACAGCTACAAAAAAAAAAGAAAAGGAGGAGGTGTTTTGCGACTGCATGAGTGGCGTGACTGATGGTTCTGATAGTGGAGAGGGCGAAAGAAAGGAGAGAGATCAGAGAACAATGACCCAGTGTGCGAGAACTGGGGATAACAGATGGGGGAAACAGAGAGGGGTCGGAGGGTGAAGGGTGAGAGAGGACAGACAAAGGAGAAAACAGAGGAGCAGCACAGCTCAGCACAGGAGAGGTCAGCTCCATGCACAACCAACCCGGAGGATGCTCATCCGGGCTTTTGGGTGTGCCACCGAAATCGGCATCCTCTGTAACATTCACTACATGCTGAGTGTGAGCAAGGCTGCATGTCGTTACTCACTGTCCAGAACTTTATGAAATATTGCAGCACGGTGGCCGCAATGAACAAACAGTACACCAGCGAGTAGGCCAGGAAGAGGATGAAAAACTTGTAGTTGGAGAATCCCACACAGTTGTTCACCCTGGAGACACACAAACACAGAAAGGTCAGGTCTGACATCACTTCCGGTGGGTAGAAATCTTATCAGCCTGAACTTTAAAAAAAACAAAAAAAAAAGGTGGAGGCTTTGTGTTATTGTTATGATTACAGAGAATGAGAGGAATAGCCATGGGTATGATTAACCGTTTTGGCAACATCATGCTGCAAGACAAGACTTTATTCCAACATAGACTTAAAACAAATCCAGCTCCACTATTTGTAATATGAAGTCTTAAAGTATTCAAAGCAGATAAGAACAAACGGAAGTGAGCATGAGTAGTTTGCTCTTGGTAAACCGCATTGTGCTTTTACAGTATGAGGAAGGGCTGGCAATCACATCTATCTCCTTATGCTCATAAACTTGCATTAAGCAACTGAAAAACACTCATAACATTGTATGTTTTGCAGTGAAGGGATTAACATTCAACAGCTTGATGGACCTGTTGCAAATATGCCTGGCACAAAGAGTGAACCTTCCTAACTCAGAGGATTAAAACTAGGATTAAAATGTGAGAAGTATATAGCTTAACATACCAGGGACAATGGTGGTCCATCTTCAGCACACACCTGCCACACACAGCAAGGTAATAGAAATGTAGATTTTAAAAAATGAGATCAACATGGAGTGGAGGAGAAAATGATCTTGGTTGAATCAAGTCTCACAGTTCACAATCACATACAATAATTAGGATTTCTTACATGTCGCACGCGGAGCAGTGATGACACCGGTCTGGCTTAATAACTTGACAGCGGTCACAGTAACGGATTGCTGCATTGTGTAAACACAGTGGATATCTCGTTATTGGTCAACTTCAACACAGAGGGACATTCACATTTGGACACGCATAAGACGTACCTCCGGCTCCTGTGCGGGTGTACAGAGGCAGACTGGTGGCTGCTCTCCACAGGATCTCTTGCTGGGACTCTGGCAGTTCTTCCTTCTCATAACGCTCCTTCTCAGCCTTGGGGAGGCAGAACTGCAGAGAAAAAAAGCAAACAGTATGCATTCATGTTCATTTTATGTTAGTGAAGGAAGTGGGCTAGGTCTGCCATTAAGCAACTATTTCAGTCGGCTATCTACCAACACTATTTTCCAAGGCCAATCTGGGCTTAACAATTGTAGATTGGTGTAAAGGTCCAGTGGGTAGAATTTAGTGGCATCTAGTAGTGAAGTTGCAGATTACAACTCTCTCGCTTCACCCCCCCCCAATGAAAAAACTAATGAAAATGTATCTATGAATATTTTATAAAACTTCTGCCATTAGAGCTTCCCAAATGTTACACACTTGACCTTTACAGAAATACAAAGAAACCAGCGTCCCCACCCGCAATATCATCTAGACTAACTTAATGGCAACAGGAGATTACAGGATTATCGGGTTATTGTACCTCTTTGGAGGGGTTGGCAGGCTTGGTGAAGATGGTCTTCCAGTAAGACCATACAAACATGATGAAAGAGAGGTGGAAGAAGATCAGGTAGACAACTGGAGGGAAACATCAAGCAAAGCATAAGGACCAATAGAAAACAGTCTGATATGTACACTGACATTGAACACAAGCAAATTCCCAGAAAAATGTTGCTATAGAGGAACTGCTGCTGTCACTTGGGATATGCCGATACACTGTACATCTACTGTACATATTAGATTAATGAGAGTGGGAAGCTACTGCTGAATGAGGAGCTTCTTCTGCCTCACGCAGACCGACCTCAGCACTTTGAGAGAGCACATTTTCTGTGCCAGCCTTTTTTTTTTTTAGCTAAGTGTACACAGCATATTTCACCAGAACTTAGACAGATAATCCCAATAAATAGCAAACTGTTTCCATTCTGTAAACCATTCACAATGCATTAAATAAACATTATTTTGATTCCCAGAGACACTTACTCTGCTCTCCTATACTTGGGATGGTGACTGTAAGATAAAAAACAGAGAAAACAAATGTTAGATGAGGAAGAAACTGTAACCTAAGCAGTGACCGTCATTATTTAAATCAACATTGAAATCAGTGGTTATACATCTGACAGTGAGCTTAAATTCTGTTTAAAAATGTTTTACAAAATAAGGCATGGTTACATTTGAATATCTAATCCAGTGCTTCCCTACCACAATATATTAATACAAATGTCTGTTCCACAAAATCATGCTTTTGTTCTACAACTTTTCGACAAATTAGTCTCACCACAAGGTCCATTTAGTGGCTGCTCTTAAGCTTTCAGTCATGTGACATAACCTTCCTCTGCATAGGGAGTTTGCCCTGTTGTGATTTTCCATTTATTGGAGCACTTTGAGGGCTTCTCATCCACCTTGTGAAGGGGGACTGTTTTCTGACTCAGGGGTGAACTTTCAGTCTCTTTAGGGCCAATGTGGGGAAGAAAAAGTCCCTAAAGCGCTAAAGAAAATGGGAATTTGAACATCAACAAAAATGTACCTAATTATTTTTGTATTTTTTGTAACTCAGGAGCCCACTGAAGCCATATAATCTGTAACGTGGGATCAAACATAATTATTGTCTCATTTTAAGGTTGGAAATGTACCTAATCTAGTCTTCTTGGATCGGATTCCCTGATACTAAACATATCTGTGTGTGTGTGTGTGTGTGTGTGTGACACTAAGGTGCATATATTTCATATCACAATTACATTAAAGTACATACAAATTAGACCCTGACACCAAATCTGGTGTGTGGGTGTATCTCTGTGATGCTGATATGAAAAAGTTTGGGAACTCCTGAAATACACAAGCCATACCTCACTCACAGTTCACAATATATACAGTTTTCTTCCTCGTTTAAGCTTCAATGTTACAACATTTTCTCTTCCTTGAAACACGAAGCCTCTAGAGCCAAATCAACACATCCCCCGTGCCAAAGCTAATTACCGGGTAGTCTAGTTAGAGGGAAAGTATTTATGTGGTCAGCCAGCCAAATACTGTTAGTTGGCATTTTAATTCTCCATGCAGACTCCATTCAGCTCGACACAAAACAACAGAGACCGAGACGGGCAGCAATATTAACAGCACCGTGAAACTTTTTCTTTGTCCAAAAACAAATCTGCCATTAAAACACGGCAACCTAAACCGATGGCAGCTTACATATAATTAGCTGTATCTAGATTCGGACAGGCTTTTGCCAACACCATTGTTGAGCTGCAGTCCATTTAACGTTACTTCCTGCTGGCCAGCAGCAGCAGCTGTATGTTTGTGTGGACAAGCACAAACGCAAACAGCAGCGGTAAAAAGGGGCTTTTAACGAGGCCACAGACGGCGGGAGGACGTCTACTTACATATACAAAGCTCCACCACATAAGCGTAATACGACCAGCAGACGACCAGGGCGATAAAAATCACAGGTATCCATGCTAAGCCCCGTTGACAGCATCTCAGTACGTGTGTGGGCGCCATCTTTCTCCCTCTGCTGGGGGAAAGGGAGTGTCGATGTGTGACGTCACTTGAGCGAAATGAGACTGGGGGGAGGTCTGAAAATATTTTAAGGGATTAATTAAACATTTTAATTACCATTCATGCACTCGTTGTACCCGGAGAAGTCTAAAGAAGTAGGTGTAATGGTCCTACATAACATAGATCTCACTTTCACTTTCGTTACTTATATGTAGCTGAATTTATTAGGAACTATTTTATAAAAGAAAAGTTTATATATTTGATATTTGACAAACCCAACACAATACCACAAAAAGAAAAACAGTGCACCTATGCACTTTTTTTTTTTTTTTTTTACTGAGTTTTATTTTGAAAGTGAATCTGCCAGTATTTTATTCTATTGTATTATAGTTATCCGTCTAACATTTATATGATTTAATTGTGCCCTGTTTAACATTTATGAAAATTTGGAAACTGGTGAGTTGTTTTGATAAATAAAGTAAAAAAAAAAAAAATGTCATGATTGAAAACAAAAAACTATTTGTACTGCTTTTTACTTATCCTACACTAATCCATTAAATGCATCCACAAAAGCCAATAAACCTTATAATCCTGTCTTTACATACTCATCAAAACCTGAATACTTGTTAGAAAGCAGAAGCTGAGTTCAGGGCGGTGTACTTGGACTTTGCCCCTAAGACAACTTTAAAGTAAGTCAGCAGCAGGAAGAGAAATAAAACACGGGAATCATACACATACACCTCTAAGCTATTATAGTTGGCTCTACGGGTAACTATAGTTACAGGGACCGCAATTCACCGGGGAGTTGAGGCTGAAAGTGAAAGTAGTGATTCTTGAAAATGACTTCCGTTAAGATGGACGTGCGGACGTATTTGTCCCGCATTGGGTTCACTGGCCCAGCTGAGCCCAGCCTGCGGGTGCTGCGGTCGGTTCACACCCGTCACCTGCTGTCGGTGCCGTTTGAAAACCTCACGGTGCACAGCGGCGGACGAGTTCAACTACACCCTCCTCTTCTTTACGACAAGATAGTGAACCAGCACCGGGGCGGGTTCTGCTTTGAGAACAACGGGCTCTTCTCCTGGCTGCTCCACGAACTGGGCTTCCGAGTCACCGTGCTCGCAGGCCAGGTGAAGAGCTTGATCACGGGTCGCTACGGGCCACCTTTTGACCATCTGATCCTCATGGTGGCCCTCGATGGGCAGCGCTGGCTGTGCGATGTCGGGTTTGGTGCCCCGGGTTTCAGCGCCCCTCTCTCGCTGGACACCAGTGGCCCCCAGGAGCAGGGCCACAGAGTGTACCGCATCAGAAAGGACGCGGGGATGCTCTTCCTGGAGTGGCAGCGGGAGGAGAACCGAGGGCCGGATGGAGACTGGGCACAGATCTACAAGTTCACCCTTGAACCTCGGTGTATGGAGGACTTTGCGGAGATGTGCGAGTACCACCAGAGCTCTCCTTCCTCCATCTTCTTCTGCAAGACCCTCTGCACGGTTTTAAAACCAGGAGGGAGGCTCACCTACATCGGCCGCAGACTGATCAGCACCACATTTCCAACAGGTGGAACAGGGGGCGAGGTGGAAACCACGACCAGGGAGCTCAAAGACGAGGAGATCCCGGGTATTCTAGCAGAGAAATTTGGAGTCGTGCTACATTCTCCACTCATACCAAAGGACGAGACAATCACACCACCACCAGTCATGTATTGATCACGCTTCCACATGGGAGAGCTTTACCTCCATAGGCATTATATGAAGAATCTTGTCATTGAGAGGTTAGACCTGCAACGATTAATCAACTAATTGATTAGTTGATCGACAGAGAAATATTCCCCAACTGTTTTGATAATTAGTTAATCAATAAAAGTCATTTTTAATGCAAAAAATATTGAGATTTCTCTGTTTTATATCTTATTAGACTGAACATTTTTGGGTTTTAGACATCACCTTGGACTCTGAGAAACTGGGGTGGACTATTTTCTGACATTTTATAGACCAAACAATCAATTGATTAATCTAGACAATGAAAATAATTGTTGCAGGCCTAAAGTATTTGATACAACATTTTAAAATAATTTCTGACTCATATTTAGTTTTAAAAAATGCTGTATGTTGACCACATATACAGTACACATGCAACAAAAATATAAATTGTCAGTTTGATTTAATAAATTATACATACACTTTTAAGATGTACAATGGTCATTGCATTAATCCATATCCGTCTTCTTTTTTTTTTTTTTAAGACAAAGTCTGCATTCAAAGTATTTACACATGTACAATTATCAGGCAGCTCTTTACAAAGCAAGGCATGAACGACAATACAGATGTTGAGCTTCAAATCAAACCTCTAACCCTCCTGCCAGCTCTGTTTCTCTGAGGGGGGGATTTACTCTGCTGTCCCGTGATTATAATACATTTCCCCCCCATCCCACCTTTGATGGGCGTGAAAGGGAATTAAAGAAATTGAACGACATCCATCAAATCCACCAAAATCCACAGGAGATTCAAAAGGAGAACGGTCCAAGGACTGAGTTGAAAATCAATGAGGGTGGGGGAGGTAATGGACAGACAGGATGTACGCAGCGTAACAGGTGCAAAAATGTGGCAACGTGTGACACAAAAATCTACTCTGCGACGGGGTTGGGGGGCGGAACCGAGCTTGCTCTTCCAGCTTTCCGTTCGTAGTTGACAAGCCTCTGTCCAACCAGGTACCTATAAAGAGAGACATTATCAGAGTATTTATACTATGATTCTTATTGTTGTCACACTTTCCAGCCATGAAGTTACAGTTTTCCTATGCTAAAAATAATAATAATTACGTCCTTTTTCATTCAGCGTTGAAACATTGGAGCAAGTTTGCACCAGATATTTTATTTAACTTAAAATATTTCAACTGGAAACTGGCTTCACAATTACCAAGCTGAACTCTCATCGCTGACCATAACACAAACTGTTAACTGACACAAATGACGTAGAAAGTGTAAAACACACGTTGGTTTCCACAGATGTGCTAAAAGATCCTTACTTGTCATTCTTGATGTGTTCATAAAGGCGTTTAAACTGTCGGATCTGGAAGGACAGGATGCCGATAAGCGAGACCACCATCAAGAGGAAGGGATAGATTCTCCTCTGCATTAGAATTTCCATTTCTGGGGTAACTCCTGCAAAAGAAACGCACTTCAGTTATAAATTGTTTTGGTGACAGCCCATTAGCAGACACTGTAGTCACTGAATCATCCGAGATAAGACAGAACATAAGAAGGAACATAGCATCCTGGAGGACCTTTTGTAATGTTATGTTACACATTGCATTCACAGGATTAATATAATGGAAACGGTCGCTGCTTTTGGTGGAGGAGGCCACTGATTTACTCATCTCCTTTTGAAACTGTGATAGCCTGCGACACTCAGCACAGAAAAGGGTATTTACAGATATTTCTCTCATAGTGTGGTGCTCCAGTACTCACCCACAGCAGGCACCACCCCTGCAGCAATCACATAGGGCACACACAAGGACAGCAGCAGGACTGAGATGACCGGAGCGGCCAGCTTACGAATGATGAACTGGAGATCAATGTTGCGAATTCCGTTTGCATAAACCTGAGGATAATGTTTACAGTCGTTACACTGTACAGATAACAATGTAATTTATCTCTATACGGAAACTGCCTTAAAGAAACTACAGTGTAAAACCAATACATAGCAAGACTGTATTCATGTATTTGTTTATTATTATTATTATTATTATTAATAGACTATTTCTTTGTTAGAGCAGTTGATACTTATTGGTCAAAAGAAGAATACACAGCATCATAAGGTCTTAAATCACAGCTAAATGGATGAGTTAATCTGTAATATCCATATAAAACCCACCTGCTCAATAACAGTCTTCAGCCACCACTGAGGGCCCATTAGAGTGATGGCAGCAATAATTTTGGCATGGAGCACTCCAAGAGCCCAGTCCTGTAGAGATGAGGAAGATCAATGGACGAACATGGATACAAGAACTGGGAATTATGTGACAATGTTAAGGAACACAAATGGGAAGACAGTCTTTCTTCACTCTTACAAAACATTAGACCAGGGGAGGAAAAGAGAGAGATGGAAAAGATCCATACAACACAGACAGACACAATCGTACCTGCCAAGGGTAGAAGAGGGGTGTTTGGTCTAGGGGTACCCTGAGTGGAGCCACAATGACCAGTTCAAACAGCAGGCCCAGAAGCAGCGGGATGACTCCAGCGACCAGCAGAGCTACAACCAGAGTCTTCAGAATCTGCACAACCAAAGCCAGGTTATAGAATGGACAGAATTAATCATAAAACAGATTAAGGGAACAAGTATGATAATGTGATGATAGTGTTAATCCCTTTTGATAGTGCCAAAATGTCTTGCTTCCTGGGACAGAACTGTTGCAGCACTGGCACAGTTAATGACTTGAGTTGAAGCTACTAGACAGACGCTTGTAAAATTTGGATATCGGCTAATGAGCTTGTAATAAGCAACCAACCATTAAACAAAACATCGCATTCGGGTCCAGCTCTAGACAATCTAATGGCTGAAAAGAGAACAACTAATTACCACACCACTCTGCTGCCCAGTTTTGCTGTTTGGCAACAGAAACCTGGCTGCTCACAGGAACCTACCATGAGCGTCCACTCCTGGACTTTTAGCATGATGACGGTGCGTCCCTGGGGCATCCAGGCCAGCAGCACAGTGACTCCTCGGATAGACAACCAGCAGACATACAGGCCGCAGGCCGCAGTGTACAGCTCATGGATTTTAGAGCTTCCTGTCCAGAAGGACATCAGCCAGCGCCCGGTGAACACTGAAACACACATGCAACAAAGCAAACAAGACCACTCTTCAACTAACTCCAACTTTAGAGTAATCCTCAGGTTTGTTTGAAGTTAATTACTGTTTGAGTTAGAACTTCAAAAAGCACCACTAAAACAGCAGACACATGCATATACATATATATATATATATATATATATATATATAGATTTACT